ATTTGTTAGCTTTATTATTTAAATATTTTATCATATATTAGATTTATTTTGGCCTAATAGTTTTTATCATAATAATTAAAATAAATATTTCAAGTTAAAAATAAGTGAAGATAACTTTAGTGGCTATTTTTTATTTTTTTTTAAAAATTGGATATCAAATTAAGTATATAAGTAAAAATGGAAAAGATTTAACCAAGAATTTTAAAAATATAATAAAACAATTTTTTGTATATTAAATCGCAATGAGAAATATACACAACATAATTAAAAATATATATTAAAAAAATGAATTGGAAAAAAAAATTTAATACATAAAAAAGAACTGAGAAAGTATTTTAAAAAAAGCGGGTACATATCATCTGAGAGAAGCTTGAATATTTATAAAATTGGACCTGCAGATTTCCTTCCAGGGAAATCTGCTGACGAAGGTAAAATCCTTCATTGGGGTGACCTGATATCTGTCTCATTTTTTTCCCTTGATTTTAATTACAAAAATATTTATTTATTTAAATTTCTTCCCAACCCCCTCCCTTCCTATATTACTAAGGGTTGACTATAAATATAATTTATTATATTAGTTTATGATTTTAAAGGAGAAAATTAATTATTTATATCAAACATGTCAGCCTCCTATTTTTATTAACTTGAGATAAACTAATGATGTATGGGTTGCCCTTGCCAGGTTTATAACTGCTGCTTTCTTATTATATTTATAATATATAAATATATGCATTCTTTACCTGAATAAATTACATAAAAAGTATTTAAGTAAAATAGATGAAGCGGCATTAAAGAAAAAAAAATCTTAGATATTTTTTGTTTTTAATATTTTCTTAAAATATATAATATTTAAAAACTAAAATCTGAATATACAAAGCACGGACAATATGTATATCTAAATATTTTTTAAGAAATACTGGCCAACAAACGGCTCTGCAGCTATCGGATATAATAATTAATATTAAAATAAACCACATTTAAAAATTTATAAACAATACTTAATATTCTTTTTATTTGTAATTTTATGTTTAATTTATTTTTTTCATTTATAAAATAATAATTGAAAATATTTGGTATCGCGTAATTACAGAGAAACTATTACAGAGAAAACAATTATAGAGAAACTTTTACAGAGAAAACAATTATAGAGAATGTCGTTTATAGAGATTTAATTTACAGAGAATGATTTTATAGAGAATTTTTTATAAAGAATTTTATTTAAGGAATGATTATTTTATAAAAAATGTTAATCTATTTTGTATAAATTTGTGTAATTATTACTTAGGTAGGGTGCGCCTGCGTAAAACAGTTTTCTATATCAAATCCTAAATTATGCTATTATTTTTTTTTACATAATATTTTATTTCTAAAGATAATATTGGCTGAGAGATAGTAAAATAAATTGCAATAGTCCTAGGAAAAACATTCAATACCTTACAGTTATATTATTACATCACTGATTTAAAATCAATGAAAGGCTTCAAATTACGACTAAACCGTTTAACAACACTAATAAGCCAAGAAGCCAGCTTGGGTCAACCATTTAACAACACTAATCACAAATAAATTAATTATTGGCTTAAAAGTAGGCTTGAGTCAAGGTCAACTCTTGAGTCTAAGTCAAATTTTCGATTCAAAATTTGACCGAGTTTAGGGATAAGCCGGCATGGCAGCCAAGAAGCCGGCTTGGCTCAGCCGTTTAATAAAACTAGTAAGCCAAGAAGCGGATTTGGATCAGCCGTTTAACAACACTAATCACAAATAAATAAATTTCGGCTTGAGCTAACGGCTTGAGCCAACTCCTGAGCCGGCTTGAGCCAACTCCTGAGCCGGCTTGAGCCAACTCCTGAGCCGGCTTGAGCCAACTCCTGAGCCAGCTTGAGCCAACTCCTGAGCCGGCCTGAGCCAACTCCTGAGCCGGCTTGAGCCAACTCCTGAGCCGGCTTGAGCCAACTCCTGAGCCGGCTTGAGCCAACTTGTGAGCCGACTTGAGCCAACTCCTGAGCCGGCTTGAGCCAAATCCTGAGCCGGCTTGAGCCAACTCCTGAGCCGACTCGAGCAAGCCAACTCAGCCGGCTCAATAAGCCGGCTTGAGTCTGAGTCTAATTTTCGGCTCAAAAACTGGCTGAGTTTAGGGCTAAGCCGGCTTGACTCAGTTTTTTAACAACACTAGTATATGGCATATACATGCTAGCGTTTCGTCATCTTTGAATGCACTTATAAGATTTGTTCCGTTATCAACAACTATACATTTATTTAAGTAATTTTCTACTTCTGTATATTCTCCTAAAATTGAATTGACTACACTTTTAATTTTGACGTTTTTTTCATCCATTGCCCTTGTGGCCAAAACAAATGTTTTTAATTAAAATTCTTAATGATAATATGTCTTATAATGGTTAAAAAACTTAGATTTTTATAGTCATCCGTCCAAATATCAGTGATTATGGGCAAGTAATTATTATCAGGCTTTTAATCTTAAATTTTATTACATGATAAATTTTTGGACCTATAGTATTCATGAGAGTTTTCCTATTCACAACTTTTATATTTTGTTATCCATATGTAACCCAACATTTATCTCTTGGCATAGCTTGTAAAATCCTTCACTATATATAACTGACTTTTCAGTAAAAAGTTTAAGCAAAATTTAGCAAAAAGTCTAGCGATAAAAAATACCTAAACATAAAAAGAAAATAGAACTAACAAAATGATACCGGATGTTGTTTATAAAATGCGCAAGATTTTCAGTTTTCATAAATTATTCTTTTTTAAAAAAGAACTAAATTAAATATATAATATAATTATAAAATTGCAAATATATAATTATAAAATTGCAAATTTATATTTATAAAAAACAATTTTAAAAATTAAAATTTCCGTGATTCACGGGAAATTTATGTTCACGCCCGATCATGTTCGGGGAAAATTTTAGAAAGGCCCGTCACGCCCAGTCACGCCATGGAATTTAAAATTTATTAACACTCACGCCGTGACCCACCGTGACACGATGGGTCACGCCTAATTTCACGGCCCGCGCCCACCTCTAATTCACATTAATTAAGAATTGTGAATTATAAAAGTTATTATTCCTAATAAATTTATGCTTAGTATTTTTAATTAACAATAATATTTCTTAAAAAATTTTATTATCCCCCCCCCCCCAGAACAAATTCCTGCGTACGCGCCTGCTTATTTTAGCCCATTTACATCAAAAAAAATTAAAAACTTTAAAAATAACGATTATGATAATTGTCACTTATCTATAGTACATCTTCATGAAATTTTAATTTAACATTTTTACAATATATATTTTTACCCATTTGCGTTAAAAAAATTCAAAAAACTTTAAAAATAACGATTATGACAATTGTCACTTATCTATAGTACATCTTCACTGAAATTTTAATTTAACATGTTTACAACCTATATTTAAACCCATTTGCGACAAAAGAATTCAATAAACTTCAAGAATAACGATTATGACAATTGTCACTTATCTAGGTACATATTCACTGAAGTTTTATTTAAACATGTTAGCAAATCAATATTTTTAAAAAAGTAATTTAGAAAAAACCAATTCTTTTAATATACATAAATTTATAAAAAAATTCTCAAAAAATTTCCTCAATTATAAAGAAAATTTAAAATTCTTATCAAATGTTTAAAAATCTTTTTCAAAAGAATTTTTTTGCTTAATATTTTGGGCATGACATGAAAATTACTAATAAATTGTAACAAAAATAATATTACAATATCAGCATAGCATTTTTTTTTATTAAAAAAAACATCAAATAAATAAGTCTATTTTCATAATATAATAATATAATATAAATTATTATGTTTTAAAAAAAATTTAAAAACAAAAAAAATATTTATTATATTCTTTTAAAATATTTAAATTAATAAATTTTGGCTCAGTATTAGACTCGAGCCAAATTCTGAGCCGGCTTGAGCCAATGAGCCGGCTTGAGCCTAAGCCAATTTTTCGGCTCCGACTTCGAGGTCGGAGCCGTATAAACTTGGCTTTTTAACAACACTAGTTAAGACAGGGCTTGTTATCTAAAATAAAAACAAAAGGATAATAAAAAATATTAAAGCCTTGAACCTGAAGAGGAGTCAATATTAGATTCAACTCTCTAGAAATAGTGGGAATATCATCAGTAGCTAAAATAGATGTAATCTAAAATATAAAAAAATATAAGAAGAACATTTAGGCATTTTTAGTATATATATATATATATAGATTACCAACCTTATTTAGCATTGTTAGTATTTGTTGGCCTTCACGATCCCTGAAACGTTTATTTTGTTGATTTACCTGCCATCTTCTTTTTTTATTAATGACGTATAAATTAGCATCGTACAATCATTAAGGGAGGTTAAGATGGGGCTTGTTCTCTAAAATAAAAACAAATGAATAATTTAAAAAAATATTAATGCATTGAAAATAGAGGGTTCAACTCTCTAGAAATAGTTGGAATATCAAGAAGCTAAATTAGATGTAATCTAAGATGTTAGAAAGTATAAGCAGCATTTTTAGTATATATAGATGACTAACTTTATTTTACATTGTTAGTTGGGTTACACGTCATATGACTTATTAGAATTGAATTTACTTTAGTATGAGTTGAATTTAGAATTGAATGATTTGAAGAATATTTATTTTTATTTTTTGATATCAGCCCAGCCTTAGGCCGGTGGTAGTGTAGCTTGGGAATTACAAATGGCACGAAATCAATTTCCGTGAATCAAAAATAGTGCTGAATAACAAATGGCGAAGTATCAAATCATGAGATATCAGAGTTTAAATAAAAATATAATATGGATATGTGGTTGATGGATATTAAAAAAATATTATTAATTTATGTATTGCCATAATATAAATGACTATATTTTCAATAGCTAATTTAATTGAGCAGGAACAATGAGAAATAAAAATTACACAAAATTTACTATATGCAAAATTCTTCTTCTCCGTTTTATGGCGATATCCAGGTTTACCCGGGTAGGCCAGTTTTCCCTCTGATTTTTCTTTTCCATTTTTGACGGTCCTGAGCATCAATATTTGTAAGATTCATGCTTCTCATATCCGCCGCTATCACATTTGTCCACGTCATCTTGGGTCTTCTTCTAGGTCTTGATCCTCCTATTTCCATCAAGGTGCATCTCTTTACCCAGTCATCTTTTGTCATACGTTCCACATGCCCAAGCCATCTTAGTCTATTTCGTCGCATTATCACTCCGATCATTTCTATACCCAATCTTGCTCGCAATTCTTTGCTAGTTTTTCTCTCTCTCAGATATACCCCACACATCCATCTAATCATCCTCATCTCTGTTCTTTCTAATTTGGCTTTATGAGTCGCTTTCATTGCCCATGTTCCGCCGCCATAAATTAAACAACTCCTCACACAGCTTATGTAAACTTTCCCATTTAACTTCAGAGAGACTTTTTTATTTGTAAGAATAGACGACATCTCTCTGAACTTCTTTCAAGCTTGTCTGATCCTTGCAACAATGGCAGAATTTACACCACCATCTGCGTTTAGCATATCACCTAAATAACAAAACTTATCCACTTTTTCTAGGGTTAACCGATTGCCAATATCCAGACCACCATTTTCTAGGTTACCATTATTATGTATCCCTTTCATGCATGTTCTATAAATAAAGGTCATTCTTTCTAACATCAAACTTCCCCTTTTCCAGCTACATCTATTATGTACCCATTTCTGGCATCTGGTGCATTGGATAGAATTTCTAGCAACTCCTTTCCCACATACACCACAAGGCCACTTACCGGATTCCTCCATCTTTAGATTTTCTCCACCACAATCATCACCTTTGTCTTTAATGCATTCATTTTCAGGCCCTTTACTTCCATAGTCATCTTCCATTTACAAATTTTATCCCTCAATTCTTCCTCACTGTTTGCCATTACAAGGTCATCTGCATATAATAGCTCCAAGGGAAGTCCTTCACGCATTTCTCTAGCCACCACATCCATTACTATGATATAATAATGGACCCAGCACGGATCCTTGATGAAGTCCTACCTTCACCTCAAAGCTGTCACTATCACCATAATCCGTCCGTACTGCTGTTTGTGCTCCAACATACATTGCCATCACTGCGATAACCAACCCTTCCTCCACACCTGATTTTATCAAGGCCCATCTAGTAATCTCACGCGGCACCCTATCAAATGCTTTTCCCAAATCAACAAACGCATAATAAAGTATCTTTTCCTAGGCAAAATATTTCTCCTGCATTTGTCTCACCACAAAAATTGCATCTGTCGTGCCTTTTCCCGATGTAAAACCAAACTGCATTTCATCAATTTTAGTTTGTTCCCTTATCCGCTTCTCTAACACCCATACTTTCATTGCATGTTCCAAGAGTTTAATAGCTCTGTAAGACCCGCAATCTAAAGGATCACCTTTCCCCTTGTATCCTGGGATAATTATACTTCTTCGCCAGTCCTCGGGAGTAGTTCCTTCTGTGATAATTTGATTGGCTAAATACATTAACTATTCAATCCCTAAATCATCAGAACCTTTAAACATCTCTGATACCACCATCGTTAAACCCGATGCCTTCCCTTTTCACCTTTTTCACTGCTCTCTATATCTCGTCCTTGCAAAATTTACACCCTGGACCTTCTATCTTTGCACAACTAACATAATTATCCCATTCATTTTGCTCATTCAAAAGTCCTTTAATATAGATCTTCCAGGTGTTCTTAATATCACTACTATCAATCATCATTTTTCCTTCCATATTTTTCAAACATTTAACACCACATCCTGCCTCTTTTTTGCCATCCTGCTTTGCCATTCGAACCATATTTCCCATTCCATCAACTCATCCCATTTCTTTAGCAAACTCCTGTCTTTTTTCTTCTTGCGCCTTCGCTATTAATTCCTTAGCATTTCATTTCGCCATCTTGTAAATATCGTTCACTATTATCCTTACTATTATACCATTCTTTAAAACACCTGCGTTTCTCATCCGCAGATTTCGCTACCTCCGGGTTCCACCACCAAGTCTCCATATGTCTAGGCGGCCCTTTTGTCCATCCACATACCTCCTAAGTTGTCATCACCCAGGCTTTTTTCATGGCTTCCCACTTGTTCTTTACACCAGATGCTTGTGCCACATCCGCCTACCCTAATCGCCAATGTCATATTGAATTGACATCTAACACTCCCCTCCTTCAGTTTCCAAACCTTCAGCCTTGGCATAAACTTTCTTTTAGTGATCCTGGCACCTTTAAGAGTGAGATCTCCTACAACTAGTCGATGTTGATTTATACATTTCCCGGTATCACTTTCATATTTTTTTATACATCGATCACATCTCCTTAATAACAAATAATCCACTGCACCTTTGGTACTACCCGACTTATAAGTCACCAGCTTCTCAGATTCTTTCTTAAACATTGTATTACAGACAATGTTATCCATAGCATCACTAAAATCTAAAATCCTCTCTCCTTCCAAATTTCTCATGCCGTAACAGAACCCTCCATGTACTTCTTCAAAACCCTCACTACTCGCTTACACATGTCCATTCAGATCAGCAGCCAGGATAATCCCCTCTTCATTTGCCAGTCTTGATGTCACCCCCAAAAGACTGTCCCAAAATATATCTTTCTCTTCTTTACATCTTCCAACCTGAGGAACATATGCCGAGATAATATTATATAGCTTTCTACCAAAAATCATCTTGATAACCATTATCTCGTTATCTAGCCTTCTCACTTCGACTACTTTGTCTACCAATTTCGCTGCAACCAATACCCCAACTCCAACCTTACCATCAATACTTCCTTGCCAAAAGAATTTATACTTTTCACTAGATCATTCGTGTGCAATTTTCTTTCCATCTAGTCTCCTGTATGTAGCACACATCTATATCTTCTATGCAATACATCGACCACTTCTCCCGCTCTTCCCGTCATACTTTCAACATTCCATGTCACTACCCTAACTCGATCCCCAGTAAACTGGTTTCTCCACTTATTATCAGGTCGTTTATGGCCGTCATAAGTTTCATTTTCATGAATCGTGGTTCCACCAGGTTTCCCATCCTTCTTTTTGTCGTAGGCGGATGAGGATGCCCACGGGGTACTAATGAATCGTGGTTCCACCAGGTTTCCCATCCTTCTTTTTGTCGTAGGGGGATGAGGAGGTCCACGGGATACTTTGGGCTGTACCCCGCCCATGCTTTGTTGCAACCATAGGGAAATTTTGTAGCAAGGTTTTACAATCGGATGCCCTTCCTGACATCAACCTCTTTAAGAGGTTTTTATACCCCGTCAAGGAGACAGTGATCTTATTCTAGACCCAGATCACAGTAAACCTTTTAGACCTCCGTTAGCCGCCAAAAGACGTTGCCAATCCCCCGTCACTATGAGGCTGAAGGTAGGATTTTGGGAGAGACTATATGCACAATAATAGGTATATATGCGAATTAAGATGAATATTGTTTGGAGAACCATTTTGGAAAGCTTTCTATAATGTGAGATCCTTGAAAATATAATTTTTTCTTAAATTTAAAAAAAAACGATTTCCCTTTTTGAATTAAAATTTTCCCCTTTTAATTCGATCTTTTCTTTTTTTGATCGAACCCTTTCCTTTTTTGATCATACTTTTAACGGGAAAATACTTGTACTTTAAAGAAAATGGCAAGCTAGAATCAGTTGGGATTAAATATTTTATAAGAATGAAGAAAAGAAAAAAAAAGAAAAGAAAAGAAAAGAAGAAGAAATGAGAAGCAGGAGAAGTGAAAGGAATTTGGAGGGAAAGAAAAAAGAAAGATGAAGGAAATAGGAAAGAGAAAGGAAAAGGAAAAAGAAGGGAAAAAAATGGAGAGAAAAGGGAAAGGAAAATGGAAAGAAGGGAATAAAAAGGGGTATGAAAGAGGATTAGTATAGAAGATGGAGAAAAATAGGGAAATTAAAGGGGAAAGGAAGGTAAAAAGAAAAAAAAATTAAAAGGAAAAGAAAGGAAAAGAGAAAGAGAAGGAGGAAAGAGAAAAAGGAAAAGAAAGGAAAAGAAAGGAAAGGAAAGAAAAGAAAAGGAAAAGAAAGGAAAAGAGAAGGAAAAAGGGAATAAGGAAAGGAAAGGATAGGATAGGGAAAGGAAAGGAAAGGAAAGGAAAGGAAAGGAAGGGAAAGGAAAGGAAAGGAAAGGAAAGAAGGAAAGGAAAGGAAAGGAAAGGAAAAGGAAAGGAAAGGAAAGGAAAGGAAAGGAAAGGAAAGGAAAGGAAAGGAAAGGAAAGGAGAGGAAAGGAAAGGAAAGGAAAAGGAAAGGAAAGGAAAGGAAAGGAAAGGAAAGGAAAGGAGAAGGAAAGGAAAAGGAAAGGAAAGGAAAGGAAAGGAAAGGAAAGGAAAGGAAAGGAAAGAAAAGAAAAGAAAAGAAAAGAAAAGAAAAGAAAAGAAAGAAAAGAAAAGAAAAAGAAAAGAAAGAAAAGAAAAGAAAAGAAAAGAAAAGAAAAGAAAAGAAAAGAAAAGAAAGGGGGAAATGGAAAGAAAAGAGGAAAGACGAAAGGATAAGGAAATTAATAATATAAAAGATTAAATAAAAGAGGAAAAGGAAAAGAAAGGGAAAAGAAAGGAAAAGGAAAAGGAAAAGGAAAAGGAAAGAGGAAAAAGGAAAAAGGAAAAGGAAAGAGGGAGAAGAAAAAGGAAATAGAGAATGAGAAAAGAAAAAAAAAGAAAAAAAGAAAAAAAAAGAAAAAAAGAAAAAAAAAGAAAAGAGAAAGAAAAAAGAAAAGAAAAGAAAAGAAAAGAAAAGAAAAGAAAAGAAAAGAAAAGAAAGAGAAAGGGAAAGGGAAAATAAATATGTAAAGGAAAAGAGAAAAGTAAAAGAAAATTGGAAATGAAAAGGAAATAAAAAGGAAATAAAAAAAGGGAAAGGGAAATAAAGTAAAAGTCAAAAAAGAAAGGGAAAGATAATAAGAGAGAAAATAAAAGGGTAAGGAAGGAAAAGAGAAAAAAAGGAATATAGAAAGGAAATTAAAAAGGGAAGAGGGGAAAAGAAGATAATGAAAAGGGTAATGAAAAGAAAATGTTAAATATAATGGGGGGGGGTGAGGTTAGGAAAGGTAAAAGAAAAAGGGAAAGAATAGAGGAAGGCGAAAGGAGAAGGAAAAGGGCAAGGAAAAGAAAAGAAAAGGAAAAGAAAAGGAAAAGGAAAAGGAAAAGAACAGGGAATAGAAAAAGGAAAGTGGAAGAAAAAGGCAGGGAAAGGAAAAGAGAAGGGAAAATATAAGAAAGATAAAGCGAAAAAAGGAATATATAGAAAAGGAAATGGAATAGGAAAAAAAACAGTAAAGGAAAGGGAAAAAGAAAAGAGATAGTAAAAGAAAAGGTAAGAGGAAAGAAAAAAGAAGAGGGGAAAAAAATGGAAAAAAAATAAGGGAAAGAAAGGGGAAAAGGGAAAAAATGGGGGGGGGGGATAGAAAATATAATGGTAAGTGTAAGGCGACACAGCAATAGAAAAAAATATGCAGGGTAGGAAAAAGGGAAATTGAAAGAAGGAGTAAACTACTAAAAAGGAAGAGGGAAGAAAAGAAAAGGGAGAAGTGCAAAAAGAGAAAGGAGAAGGAAAATGTAAGGAAAAGTAAAAGAAAATGGAAGGAAAAGCGAAAGAAAACAGAAGGAAAAGCAAAAGAAAAAGGGAAAGTGAAAGAAAAAGTGGAGATAACGGAAAAGCGAAATAAAAATTAAGAGAAAAACGGAAAGAAAAGGGATGAAAGAAAAAGGAGGGTAATGGAAAATAAAAATAAAAAGGAAAATAGAAAAGAAAAAGAAGGGAAAAAAGGTGGGAGAAGGGAAAAAAGGAAATAGGGTGAGAAGAAAAGGAAACGGGATAATGGAAAGTAAAATAAAAAATAGAGAAAAGGGGAAAGTGAAATAAAAATAAATAAAAAAGGAAATGTGAAAGAAAAATGAAAGAAAAAGAGGAAAGGAAATAAAGAGGGGAGAGGTAAGAAAGAAGAGAAAGGAAAGAAAATGAGTAAGGAAAAGAAAGAGCAAGGAAGAGAAAAAGGAAAAGAAGGGAAAAAAATGTAAAGGGAAAAAAAGATAAAGGAAAAAAAAAAGGAAAGGAAAATGAGAAGGAAAAAAAATGCGAAGGAAAATTTGGAAAGTAGCAGGGAGAGGAAAAGGTAAAAGAAAGAAAACGGGAAAGGAAAGAAAGGAAAATCTGGAAAGGAGCAGGGAGAGGAAGAAAAGGAATGGAAAGGAAAATGGAAAGCAAACGCTTGGAAAAAGAAGAAAAATATGAAATGAAAGAGGGAAAGAAAAGGAAAAGGAAAGAATAGGAAGGAAGGAGAAGGGAAAAATAGAAATGGAGTGAGAAAAATAGGAAAGAAAGCGGGATAATGGAAAGTGAAATAAAAAACAAAGAAAAAGAAAAAGAGAAAGAGAAAATGAAAGAAAAATATAAAAAAGGAGAAGTGAAAGAAAAATGAAAAGAGAAGAGGGAATGGAAAGAAAAAAGGGAAAGGAGAAAGGAAAGAAAATATGGAAAAAGCAGGGAGAGGAAGAGGGTAAAGTAAAGAAAAAAGGGAAGGCAAAAAAGTAAGGAAAAGAAAATGGGAAAATATGAAATGAAAAAGGAAAAGAAAAGAAAAAGAAAAAGAAAAGAAAGAGAAAAGAAAAAGGGAGGAGAAGTGGAAAAAGTAAATGGGGTGAGAAGAAAAGGATAGATAAAGGGATAATGGAAAGTGAAATATAAATATTACAAAAGGGAAAAGTGAAAGAAATAATAAATAAAAAAGGAAAAGTGAAGGTGAAAGTGAAAGTGAAAGTGAAAGAAAAATAAAAATAAAAATAAAAAAATAAAAATAAAAATAAAAATAAAAATAAAAATAAAAATAAAAATAAAAATAAAAATAAATAAAAATAAAAATAAAAATAAAAATAAAAATAAAAATAAAAATAAAAATAAAAATAAAAATAAAAATAAAAATAAAAATAAAAATAAAAATAAAAATAAAAATAAAAATAAAAATAAAAATAAAAATAAAAATAAAAATAAAAATAAAAATAAAAATAAAAATAAAAATAAAAATAAAAATAAAAATAAAATAAAAATAAAAATAAAAATAAAAATAAAAATAAAATAAAAATAAAAATAAAAATAAAAATAAAAATAAAAATAAAAATAAAAATAAAAATAAAAATAAAAATAAAAATAAAAATAAAAATAAAAATAAAAATAAAAATAAAAATAAAAATAAAATAAATAAAAATAAAAATAAAAATAAAAATAAAAATAAAAATAAAAATAAAAATAAAAATAAAAATAAAAATAAAAATAAAAATAAAAATAAAAATAAAAATAAAAATAAAATAAAAATAAAAATAAAAATAAAAATAAAAATAAAAATAAAAATAAAAATAAAAATAAAAATAAAAATAAAAATAAAAATAAAAATAAAAATAAAAATAAAAATAAAAATAAAAATAAAAATAAAAATAAAAATAAAAATAAAAATAAAAATAAAAATAAAATAAAAATAAAAATAAAATAAAATAAAATAAAAATAAAAATAAAAATAAAAACAAAAATAAAAATAAAAATAAAAATAAAAATAAAAAATAAAAATAAAAATAAAAAATAAAAGAAAAACAAAAAGAAAAAGAAAAAGAAAAAAAAAAATAAAAAGAAAAATAAAAAAAAAAAGAAAGGGAAAGGAAAATGAGAAGGAAAAGAAAATGGGAAAGGAGAAAGGGAAGAAAATATGGAAAGGAGCAGGGAGAGCAAAAGGTAAAGAAAAATATTCCTTTTTTTGCTGAAGAAAGAAAAGAATGGAAAACAATTTTATATTCTATTTATAATAAAATATATCCATTATTTATTTTATATAAAATATTCTTTATTATTATAGTATATGTTAAATATATTTCATACGACCTTTTTGACTTTTCTTTTTGTTAAATATATTTTGTACGACCTTTAAAAAGTTATCCTACTTTTCTTTTTTATATGTAAAAACTTTATTAACTTAAAATGTTCTTTTCGTAAAGTACCTTAAAACAAATCTAAATTGTATATATGAAAACATAGGCGTAGCCGAGGGGGGGGGGGGAGCAGGAGAAATTCCCCCCCCCCCCTTCAGAAATTTATCACTTTTTGTAAATATCATTTTTAGCTAATAAAAAAATATCCCCTTAATCCTCCTCACTCTGACCTCAAATATGTATGCATATCTTAAATAATAATTTAATAGGAAGAATGAAAAGTTGATATTTTTTATAAAACTATTCATCATAATTTATAGATTTTTTAGAAAATAAATTTATAAATATGTAAAATGAACCAAAAATGTTTTTAATAAATGGAATATAAGCCAAAAATAAGTCTTAAGACAGAAGTGAAATGTATTATAATTATTAATAATAGATCCATAAAATTATAATATATCAAATATAATTTTTTATAAAGTGAGTAATTTTAATTTATTTATCTTAATAAAAGTAAAATATAATTATAAAACTATTGATAAAATTAGAATACCTTAGGTAAAAAAATATTAAAGCACAATACGAACAGTGGAATATTATATGTAGTAGATTTACAGTATATCTAATTATCAAATGACAATCAAGTAATTTTTACCAATATAGCCAATTATATATTTTACAGAAAACTCTAAAATATTGATAAGGACATCAGAAAATATCTTTTAAAGACATTGTGGGATGAATAATATGAAGATTAAATTTAACTATGATTTTTACTTAATATAAATAGATGGCGTTAAATAATTGAATACAAATTGTTGCTCTATTTAAAATCAAGAGCATTGATTAGTAAAATTTGTTAAATTAATAACTGTAATATATTCTCTAACTGTCAAATATGTCTGTAAAGTGGGAATTTTACCTAGTATGTTATAATTAATTCTATATAATAAGAGTAAAATCAACTATATGTCTATTAAATTTTATAAATAAATTTCTTATAATTGTTTGGAATAAATGATTACCATGCTTTTATATTAAGGCATATACAATGCAAGTAATTTATTATATTTTTATTTTATATAAACTAATAAAAATATATTTCTCTTCTATTCCAAAATATTTTTTATTAAAATTTGTAAAATATTTTATGACTATATATAGACTAAAGTAACCCGGCCGCCCAAAACGGGTCTGAATCCCCCCAGTAATTTTAATTCCCCCCCCCTTATGAAAATCCTGGCTACGCCTATATATGTAAATGTTTATAAAAATAATATATATATATAGTATTGAAAAATTGCAAAAAAAAGTAGATTAATAAAATATTTAAAATCAAATTTATTCGTTGCCTTCCGCGAATTAACAGTATACATATATCTTGAATTACTAATCAAAAAAATAATTATTATTTTTGTATTTCCCTTATTTCATCATGCATACATATATTTTTTAACTATATTTAAAAGAGGGGCTGAGTTTTAAATAATCATAAGTAATAATGTGTAGCAGGTATTAAAACTATCATTATCCTAAAATATCTAGTATTAAACATTAATTCTCATAAATACTTCAAAATAACTGGCATTATTATTTTTAAAATATTTTTATTTTATTTTAGATTTTTTTTTTCCATGATGTAAAATGTTTTTAAGATAAATGGAAAATAGAGATAATTATTTTCTATAATATTTTAAAAAAAATTTTTACTTTTTGATCGAAATCGCATTTCAACGAAAGGCAATATATCCTCTTCAAATACCGATATATAGACTTTTGAGGCTTGATAAAATAAAAAGTTGATTTACAAAAAAAATATAAAATAAATAAATACGTACCATTACATACCGATGGCATGGCATCACGAATAGTGTTGTTAAATAGTCGAGTTTTTACGACTTTGAACTCAAGTCGGAGTCGCAAAACTCATTTAAAATTGAGCGGCTCAATGAGCCGCATGAGTCGGCTCGATGAGTCGGCTTCAAAGTCGGCTTCAGAGTAGGCTAGTGTTGTTAAATAGTCAGTTTTTTACGACTTTGAACTCAAGTTGGAGTCGCAAACTCATTTCATTAAGCGGCTCAATGAGCCGCATGAGTCGGCTTCAGAGTCGGCTCGATGAGTCGGCTTAAGAGTCAACTTGATGAGTCGGCTTCAGAGTCGGAAAAAATTTATTTTGAATCCGCCTGCTATTATAATTTACTCCACGATAAAAAATATTTAAAATTAAACCACTATGGTTCGAGAATTTAAATATTTTAAAATTCAAAATAACCTTATATAGTATTATTTGTTTTTTTTTTTTTTTTTCAAAAGATTATGGAGCTCAGGCATTAAAATCTAACAATCCCCGGTCTCCCCTATAATATATTTAAAAAAAATCATACCCAGTCTGAATATTTTTTTTAAAAAAATCTTTTATATATATTCTAAATAATTGTATAGGTAGTCTTGTTAAACGGCTCGATTTGAGCCAATTTTAAAACGGCTAACTCAATATTTTATCCAGAAAGCTATTATGTAAGCTTTAAGAAAGTTTAGACATCTATCAGCGAAATGTCGGGGTTTAGATGAAAATATTAATAATAACATGGTCATATTCTTAAAATAATACATTTCGAATTTAATAATATTTAAATTTTCGAAACATAGGGGTTAAATTTTTAATATATTTATCGTGGAGTAAATAATAATAGTAGGCCGATTCAAAAATAAACCTTAGACGACTCTCAAGCCGACTCATCGAATTAGACTCAGAAGCCGACTCATGCGGCTCATTGAGCTTTTTTTATTGAAATGAGTTTTGCGACTCAAACCTTGACTAGATTTTAAGCTGTCAACTCGACTGAGCCAATTAACAACACTAATCACGAATGACGTAGTGAGAACATCGAAAAATTATAATATAGATTTTTTTAAACATAAGATAATATCCAGATTAGACATAAATATTTTTCATAATTTTCAATTTATTTAAATGCAATGTGTTGTATATATTAAAATGCTAAATTTTATCGCTTTGATGCTCAGAATATGTGTAAATATTATTAATATCAACAAATCGGATAAGTCAAAAATAAATTTTTCCAGTCGTAACCAGCGTCTACATGACAGGATTTTCACTGGATGCAAACCCCCTTCAAAAACCTTTGCCTACCCCCCTAAAAATCCCCGCCTTTGGCGGCAGTATCTCTTTATCATTATTTTCACTTATTTATTTATTGATACTCTTTTCAAAGAATTTATAAAGGATAACTTAAATTAATTTATCTCTACTACCAACTATCGATATTTTGTGAATATAAAGATTTATTTTTTAGATAATAAATTCAATTAAAACCTCCATTATTTACAAAGAATCAATTATTATGGCATTATGAGCTTGCTAAAATATCTAAACCTTTTAAATTACATTTAAAAGGATAGTTTATTGGAAAACAATGTGTATGATTGTTTGCAATATATAGATTTGGTCGATGAATGTATTATAATAATACTATAATAAAAGTATTAATTTTTACAGCAATAAATTTTGTCCTATTTCATCTCAAAATTCAATAGATAACCCCCAAAAAAATTTATCCTACCCCCATTAGAGCAGCTTACCCCCTACCCCCTCACAAAAATAGGATGCTTGTTCCTACCCCTCCCGCTCATGTAGACGCTGGTCGTAACGATTCGCAATTATTCGGTTTGGATTGTATTCCATATTGGGATATGGAATCCATAGGAATTTGGAATAATTTAATTTTAAATCATTTACTGAAGGCGATTTTTAAATTTGGAAAATTTGATATAGCTGATTTCAGCAAGTACGGAGTATCCACACTGAATTTCAGACAATCTTGCCTAAACAATCGAGTCTCTCTCATAACATATCTCTCTATATATGCTGGAATAAATTTCCTGTAAAATCAGATTTCCCATTTAAAATCATCCTCAATAAATGATCTCTACCAATGCTGGAATAAATTTCCTGACAAATCAGTCCATTTAAAATCATCCTCAATAAATGATATAAAATTGAGATATTCCGAATCCAAATAGATCCTACTTTTTATTTATATCAGAAAATTAATTTAATATAAATACTGACAACTATATTATTTTACTTTTTATATTTATCGTGTCATATTTTATTATTGATCTTAATAGTAATGAATATTTTATAACAATCTTAAAAAAAAATATTTTATTTGTGAAAACAACTTTTGGCAAATTTATATAATTATTAAATTTCGTAAGGCGCAATTTTGCTTTACTGAAGTTTATTATTTTAACAATTTTATGATGCCTAGCTCATTAGATAATAATATTTGGGTCATTGAAAAACCTCTTCATCAAACGTGATAATCTTAATATTTTTTATACTATATAGTATTTTTCTTTTAGGTATTTAATAGAATTTCGTACGGAGCAATGTCAACTATTTCTCAAACACAAATGCAATAAACATCGTCCATATACTTGCTTTTACTGGCATTTTATGAATCAGAGAAGGAGACGGCCAATAAAACATGAATCTGGAAATTTTAATTATCACCCTGACATATATTGCACAAAATATGATGAAGCAACTGGAGTTTGTCCAAATGGTGATAAGTATATATTTACAAATTTATTCATGATGTTTAATTGCTTGTAGCTGTCCATTGTTGCATAGAACATCTGGCGATACTGAAAGAAGATATCATCTTAGATATTACAAGACAGGTTAAAAAATATTAATTAAAAATTATATTAAAAAATTTATAGAAAATTGTGTACATGAAACTGATATGAAAGGTAGCTGCTCAAAAAATGGAATACACTGTGCTTTTGCTCATGGCTTGTTTGACATAAGAGAACCTTTACTAGGTTCAGATGAATCCATTTTAGATGAGTTTATTCATAGAGCAATTACAAAACAACTTTTGGTTAAAAGCTTTACTAATATCATAAAAGATAATGGAGAAAACAAATTAAATAATATAAATGGTAGTAATTCAGAGACAATGTTTGATATTGATCACATTTTACCTAATGGCCAGATTCTTAATCAAAATAATACCAGTGATATTGATAAGGAAACTTTAAAGTTTTTACTCTCTTCAGAGAACAATAATGATGAATCAAAGTCCATTCCATTAACCAAATTATTTGAGGTTATAAATTCCTTGATTAAACACTCTTCTATGTCAACTACTAATAATGGAGAATCATCTTGTGCAGCCAATAATCAATCTCAAAATGGTCATTTATCAGTTAATTTAGAAGACTGTAATTCTAATCAAGTTTATAAATACAAAATGGTTGAAAAATTAATCAATAGAAATGCTTCACCAACTTCTGTTCTAGTCCTGCCCACTACAATTCCTACTATCAATGCTAAACAACTACAAAATTTGAAAAGACGTTTGCAAATAATATTTATGAAAGAAACTCTAAATGGTGGGAATATTGAATCTTTTGATTCAATCAATTCCAAGGCCAATACAAATTTCAATGGGACTATTAATCATTTTAATGGAACCTCTCCACTGCATTTTACTAATGGTGGTATATCTAAAAATATTAATCAAACAGATAATAATGCAGTTATGCTGAAATTAAATAAGATATGTCCAATGTTATTATTAGAAAAAGACAGGGTTTTGCAAAATGAAGATATTAAATGGAAAGGTAAAATATTTTTTAAAATTCTTCTGATTTATGATTATACCTTAATTTAGGGATGTACTTATATTATTTATTGGATTGGGTGGGCATGACTGAATTAAGAATCCTCTATTAAAAAACCTTAAATTTAAAAGATAAAACTATAATGTATAACTCTTCAAGAGGATTCAGAAAATGTTAATATTAATATTTTTAAAAATTTATCATTTTGACTTAAACTAAAATAAGAATTAGCGGTGGGTACTGGCCTAATTTTTTATGCCTGCTCACTGGAAATAAAAAAATTTACACCTTTTCACACTTACTACTAAAAAAAATTGACCCAATCTGTCCCCTCACAAAAGACAATATTTTTATCACAACTAAAAATTCATGGTGTTATTAAATTTTTCAAAACTTTATTGGTATACTTTTGCACTTTTTTAAATTTATTCTGTTAATAACACAAGATTATTACAATTATTATTTAGAAAAAGGAGAATGTCCATATTTTTTTATTACAATATGTTTGACTTTATTCTATTAAGTAATTGGTTATATATAACAACATTTCAATAGAAGCCAAGCTTGTCAGGCTGACAAAATTTTACTAGCTAAATTTCTCTAAAAAGAAAATAAATTTTCTTGCTCCCATAACTTAATATTGTCATTGTTATTTAGTTTATGAGCATGAACCTTTTAAGTTCACATAACGTTCTTAGGTAGATGTTGATGCTTTGTCAGAATCATCTAGAAATGCTCTAAATGTTTCATTTAGAATATACAGTTTTTTTTATATGTGTAGGATAAAATAGGTAGGTTATAAATGATAGTTCACATTGGCTTAGGCGTATCATAATTTTATATCTTTGGGTGACCAGGAGAAACATAATAAAAGTAAACTCCTATTTAGTAGGGGTAGCTGGATTGTTAAGGGGATCTGCAAAAGAAAAATAAATTGTTTCTTTGAGACATTGTCTATGGGATATGCATACATTAGGAATAATTAAAAAGTATGTGCATAAGGCTACAATTATTGCATTAAGTATATTTATTGTGTCGTACCTTCAAATAATTTTTTATTAAGGTCAGACCCCTTAATATACACTGTTGAGAGGCAATGGGAAGCTTAAAAATAATATCCCAAGAATGGATATAGAGAAAAGACAAATTAGTATTTAAATGGCAGGCCATTCCATATCAAATGAGCAAAAAAACTGAGATTTTTGGCCGACCCCCTTCGATTTTTTTAAATTTGGTAATCAAAATCAAAGAAAGGTTAGTGTAGTTAAGAAATAGCCAAAATTTTAGTCTCGTAGCATTTATATTTTTGGAGATATTAGGGTTCAAAGTGGCAAAAATGACGTATTTTTACCATTAACTGCCTTCATTCAATTATGCATATCTTAAAAACTACATAATTGTAAATAACAAATTTAATATCAAAATTACGTACAAAGATTCTACTCTTTCAATTTCTGGTCATTTTAAAGGACTAGAGGGTCATTTCAATCACTTTTTGGCCGACCCCTTTCGATTTCGATGAAAAATCGTAGGCTGGTTATATATGTTCCCATTAGATTATAAACAAAATTTTAGCGCATTAGCAACTATATTAGCAGAGATATTTGGGGTTAAAGGTCTAAAAAACGTCTTTTTTTGCTTTTTACTGATGTTAAATAACTAGTTTTTAATTTTAAACTAAATATGATCAAATATTGAATATAATATCAATAGCTAAGTTAATAATTGATGATTATGGCGAAAACATCAAAATTAATTTTTGATAAAATATGGGTCATCTTATGGTCAGTTGAAAACTTGAAATTAATATTTCGAAATGTATATGATCTCCGATTTTTAATTTTTTTAAGAAATATTATCCGTTTAGTATTTTTTTAATAATTTCTTCAACAATTAGCATGGCTGGATATTTATTTTAAAAAATATTGCGATATTTATACTTTTAAAAAAATAGATGGCGCTATATATAATAGTTTCAATATGTTAAAATTCATTTTTTTTATTGATTAAAAATATTTTAATGTATATATAACATACTAAATCGATTACAATGTCCATTATATATATTTATTTGTAATTCAGATCATAAATTTTTAAAATCTTCACAAATTTAGCTTAATTAAGATAGTTTATAAATTAATTAAATCTTACTTCATCTAAAGGAATACAAAGCCTGGCTAGCTTGTGAGATTTCTTCAGGAGATAATATATATGTTTGACTGGTGGGAGTAGAAGGATTGACCAGCGAGAGAATATGAGATTTAGGCAACACTAAAATATCATCCTTCAGAGGAAATTTAAATGAGGCTGAAGGTCCACAAGGTGTAAAATCGGATTTTTACTTTATTTATATCATTTTTATCGATTATATATCCTAACCACCACTTATCATCATATACACATGTTATATGTCCATTAATATTTTAAAAATTAATTTTCTCATTTAAAAACGAAACTTGTTTTATATTATATTTTTTGGAATTAGAATATATTTTGGTTTTTAGTCTATTTTGATCAATGGGAATAACCCCGTGAATTTTTTAATCCCATGTATAAGCAGTGCATTAAATCTTTTACGAAGGGCTAATTCCTCTTCGATATATTCTTGATTGGATACATATTCAAATTGAATTCCATTAATATTTTCTTTAGCATAATTATATAATTCTAATGGGGTTAGGATTTGATTTTTATTTGGCCTTTGAAGACTAGCTCTGGCAACTAATCTTTTGACAGTTCCTCCGATACCGTCACATGCATTTTTGCGGTGAGCAGTGGCAAAGAAATGCCATTCGGCAGGAATATTAAAATCGTATTTATGAAGACATATGTTCAGAAAAATTTTGCCATTCTTGTATTGAGACGCCGCTTCATCTGAAAATATATTATTTTTTCTGGTTTAGAATTAAATTTGGATAAAATAACAAAATTTATATTTTTTAATTCTTCTCCAGATTTATAATATGCTACAAATGGATGTATAGTGGCCTGCACGTTGTTCCATTGAAATCCCTGAACTTCATCTTGTAAAATGAAGGAATAATTCTCAGAATAATCTAGAATTGTTAAAAATTCCCCATCTTTTAAATTTTTCTACATTTGTCATTAATTTCACATTCTGATGAATGGCGCAGACACAAACAGTGTGTGTGCCACTAGCTCCAACTAAAATACAGTTTTTTGGTCTAAGTTTGGCAAATTTAGAGAATCCAATTGATATATTTGGGTATTCTTCCTTAAACATCTTGAATATTTATTTAAGCTTATTTAATATAAGTCTTTGGACTGATTCTTTCTCGCCTTTAACAGATACACAATCTTTTATTCCAGGCATGAGTCGGCTTATTTCATCAGAACTATAATTTTGTTTATTTTTATTGCTTAAAAAATTTTTCAAAATCTTCGAAATTTTCTTTATCTCTGGTTATTTTAATAATTTAAGATAATGACAATTTCATAACATTCTTGATCTTGATGGGTATGACTTAGTCTGGAAGGGGGGAGGGTTGGGGGTACGCCTGGTAATTAATGTGATTTTCGATTTTTCCCTTAATAATTTTCCTACACTCCTTTAATCCTGCTTTTTTGTTCGTATACTAGTCGGATTTTTTAATTATTTATTCATTAAATATTAAAAATATTATTAAAATTTTTTATCGCTGCGAATATCTCAGGGGAATAAGGTTTACAAAGTTATATAATCCAATTTTATGATATATTATACATTAAAATATTTTTAATCAATAAAAAAATGAATTTTAACATATTATAAATAGCGCCATTTATTTTTTTTAAAGTATAAAAATCGCAATATTTTTTTTAATAAATATCCAGCCATGCTAATTGTTGAAGAAATTATTAAAAAAATAGTAAACGGATAATATTTCTTAAAAAAATTAAAAATCGGAGATCATATACATTTCGAAATATTAATTTCAAGTTTTCAACTGACCATAAGATGACCCATATTTTATCAAAAATTAATTTTGATGTTTTCGCAATAATCATCAATTATTAACTTAGCTATTGATATTATATTCAATATTTGATCATATTTAGTTTTAAATTAAAAACTAATTATTTGACATCAGTAAAAAGCAAAAAAAGACGTTTTTTGGACCTTTAATCCCGATTATCTCCGCTAATATAGTTGCTAATGCGCTAAAATTTTGTTTATAATCTAATGGGAACATATATAACCAGTCTACAACTTTTTATCGAAATTGAAAAGGGTCGGCCGAAAATCTTGATTTTTTTGCTCATTTGACAGCAAATTGTTGGAAATAATGCGACCTTCAATTTTTTTAAAAGATTTAGTATACATTACTAAATTCTTCCTTTATATTTATAAAAAAAATTAGTCTAGGATGTGGCCATCTTCATTCTTAAAATCGAAAATGTTTAGAAAAGTGTATAAATATTTTTCCGAAAGAGGGCGTTTTTGTATAAAATTATATTTTAATTAGTTTTTAATGGTTTTTTTGAACTATTTTATATAATTTAAAGGATTATTTATCTTGTAAGTCAAAATAATATAGAAATTGTCTATCGACATAAAAATTCAATTTATTACTTTATTTATAATTTATTATAAAATTTTTTGCCCATATAACATATATTTAAATATTAATAAAATATATTCAACCAAGTTTATAGTTCTTGAATATAGTTTAATTAAAATATCTAGTAGATTATCATGGTTAAATTAAATAAGAGATTATAAAAATATAAATTATTTATAATTATTATTATTTTTAAATTTATAAAAACCGAAAAGAACTTAATATAAATTTGATTTTTAAAAAACCGGAATGGAACAAAACCTTTATAAAATTTTAAACTAAAAACTGAAACAAACCGACTATACTTAGCGGTTCGAAACCCTGCTCTTTATAAATATAAAATAAAATGAAAGTTTAAAATTTAAAAAAAGCCTGGACCCTGAACCCTAAATTTTAAAAAAGGGTTCGGGTTTGGGTTCAGCGAAATATCGAGAGTTCGGTTTAGGTTCGGGTTCTCATCCCTGATTTTAAGAGTCTTGTAAATAATCACAAAAGGATGAATGGTAACTTGCCTTTTGTTCCAAAATCCTTGTACTTTATCTTGAATAACAAAGGCATATTTTCAACAGAATCTGCATGAAAGATATATTCTTCTTCATTTGAAATCATTTTAATAGAATTTATGCTTTAAATATTTTTGGAGATATAAACAATTTTAAAATATTTTCGCACCTTTGAGGCTCTATATCCCAGTTAACAATAATTTGTAGTTTTATAGTGTCATCTATTTTATACAAATAAAAATTTATTTTTGGTAAAAAATGCTTATTTCGGAAGAGCCGATAGCGTCGCCAAAGTTTTCACATCCTATATATATTTATAAATGGTGTCTAAATAAAAGGCAAAAATTTTTCGAAAGCCGTCTCCCTTTATTTCTTAAAAACAAGGGTAAAGAAATATAGGTAAACTGGAAATTAAAGAATCAAATTGGCGCCTAATTTCTTTTTCTTATGAAAGGCTTCTAGAGATTTTTTACCTGCAATTTGATATATTATATTCATTTTTACTATAAATAGTTTTTAAGATATAAGCATTTACAGATTTGTCGCACCTTTGAGGCCCTGTAACTCGGGAACCAACTGTGCTAGGGAGCTAAAATAAACCTCTTCTCATTTTTTTTACCTATCTAAGCATTCCAAAAAAATTTATAAAGGGTAAGCCGAAAATATGCTGTTTTTGATCGATTCCTAAACCTCTTATAAAAATTTTATTTTTAAAATTAGCTGCGCATTCTAATTGTATATATTTTAAAATGCTTCCTTCTTAGACATCTGTATACAAATTATTGTTTTATTGGTCACTAGCCCAAAAAACGGTTATATAAAGAAACTTATAGGGTAAGAGAAATGTAACTCGTTACTAAACAAGCTTCATAACTCAATAATAAATATTAGAACAATTTGCATGGTACCTAAGTTTATAAATAAATAACTATAAAAGAGAATTTCAGATTCAAGCTGCCTTTGCCCCAAGTTTCAGGCTTAAATTATTTAAATTTAAGCTCACTCAAAAACTGGGGGGTTTATGTAGCAGAATCCATGCTTTTCCTCTTTGTATGAGTTGAGCCAAAAGAATGCATCCTGTTATATTTTTCTCGTGATTTCTTAGCATGTGTCCTAGTGGATCAATTCTCTTCCTAACTGTTATATGTGTTATGTATTTTTCCCATGGTTTTTTTTATCTGATATGATTTTGATTTTGGGATAAACATACACTTAAGTTGCCTGAGGCATTTGGTCTGTACTTTCCTTAATTGTTTTATTCATGTTCCACATATGACTAGCAAGACTGGTTACTGTAGAGCTTAAGATTTTTATGCTAGTTTTCACAGATATTTCTTACCAATAGTATTTTTTGTATGTGAAAATTATATTATTTATTCTATTTCTATTTCGCTCTGTATATTTCGTTTGTTGTTCATTGTGACTACCAGATATTTAAAGCATTCAATAGCTTTTATGACCCTCTATTCAACTATGATAGTATTGATTTGGCGCTCAGTGACGGCATAATGAAAAAATTAATGCTTAATCCAGCTTTTTGACAGTATTTCTATTATTAATAGCTTCTGATTTTGCGATAAGAACTGTCATTGGCATATTAAATTATTTGTCTATACACTTTATAATTAAATTAGAAGATTATAGGGGAAAGGACACAGCCTTATATAAATTCCTCTCTTACCCTGAACTGGAGGATTGTGATTATCCAATTTGGAATGTGACGAAAATCAATGTAATAAAAAATAATTTTGTAAGCAAGGCTAAATTTATATTAAAAAGAAAAATGCCAATATCACATACAATAAATACTATAAGTTTAGTAACATTATTTCAAAAGTAATTGATTACCATTGTAAGTTACTTTATAAATAAAAATTATATCACCCATCATTTTTAATAGGGATGTATCGATATTTTTTATCGGATCGGGCCGATATTTCGCCCATTTTAAAATATCGTTTGTCGGCCATTTTTATAAAATTTCCCGATCCGATAAAAAATGGCATTTTTAACAAAAATAAAATGTAAAATTTTTAAAAAGTTTATCTAAAAAACTATTTATTTTTATAAATAAAATCTAAATTTTTAATGTTTATTTTTTTAATAATAATAATTAATTAATAAACATTCTACCATATTGTTACTATTTTGCGCATTCTGTTACAATAAAAGTGTGCGATAATCTATTTAGAATCTGTTTTTAGTGAAGCTGGTTATATAGACACTCTGCATTGGCCGGCTGACCTCTGATAAATTGGAAATTTTGGTATTTCTAAAAAGAAATCTTAGATATATTAATTTAAATATTTATTTCAAGTTTCATAATATATTTATTTCTTATTATGTAAATAGATTAATGTTATTACTTATATAAATAAGTGATTTTCAAATAAAAATATTTTATATACTTTTAAAATTGCAGAATTGAATATAAACTATAACTGATCATTATAATATATTTAAATAATATATGTTATGGTATAGTTAAATTATAGATGTTTTAAATAGTATATTAAAAATTAAAACCATTGGTATCATATCTTTACAGAATACAAAATAAGATATGCTATCGGATTGGTAATCGGCCAATATCAATTTAATATTGGATTGGCCTCCAAAAAGTGGTTTCGGTACACCCCTAATTTTTAATATATTTTTTTTATTATATAATATTTTAAAAATTTTATTCAAAGGAATTAAATAAAAACACGATTTAAATAACTGCACTGAATAGAATTACCATATTATTATTTGCATTGAAAAAAAAAATATCATAATTTATATTTGCACTGAAAAAAATATAAAAATAACACAATATAATATTTTTTTTTTCATGAAAATTTGATCTTAAGAAATTTTAATTTGCTTTAAATTAAATCATTCTAAAGATAGGTTGGTTAAAAATAAGTTTAAACAAATGTTCTGCAAGATCACTTCATAGTAAACATAAATTTTATAACTCATAAAAATAAATGAGTTATATATTAAATATTTTAAAAGTAACTGTTTACTCACAATATTCTCAGTGGTTGGGTTCACAACCCTATATTAATTAATTCTTGAACAATTTCAAAATGATATAATAATCTTAAAATTCATTTTCAAAATCTTTGTATGATATTTTTATTTAAATAATGTCCTTAGATTTTCAAGTTCAAATTTTTTTTGTTTGATTCTTAAAAAAATCTTTTCGAAAAAAATTAACTAGTTCAAAATCTAGTTACTTTAATTAAGAAAAATTAAATGCTTAAAACATCAAGGCTTTAAGTAAAATCAAGGGTAGTGTTAATAGACTACTCGATGTGGCCTATTTTAAATCAATATTTTAGCCAACATAATATGCAAGCCTCGAGATTTCATTAATAGATTTCCAAACCTTTCTACCAAAAACCGGATAATATTACCTAGCCTCAAGATTTCACTAATAGATTTCCAAACCTTTGTACCATCCTTGATGAAAATTTTGAGGCTTGCGCAATAATTTTCTGGATAAAATTTGTAGTTAGTTGTTTATAAAAATCGGCTCAAATCGAGCCGTTTAACAACACTACCATCTATGAGCAAATTCTCCAGGCTTGCATAATATTTATACGTAAATATTGGATTAGCCGGTTTAAAAATCTAAAACTAAATAAGGTGGAGTGACACTAAAAACTTTATTCAAATTAGATAAACTGTATGTTAAATGATTCAAACCAGAATTTTTTGAAGGAATTGAGAGTTAAGGTAGAACACCTGCAAAAACAAGTTCGATCAGGACTCTAGTGTTAGGTATTATTTTAAGAACTTTAAAAAATTAGAAAATATAACCTAATTAATTGACCCCAATAGATTATTTTAATAAAAATGCTGAGGATAACACTAATTAACAAGTAATAGGATACTGTACTAATATTAATGAATTTATGTATTTTAATCTTTTTAAGACGTTTCTTACGTTTTGACTCATTATAAAACTGAATGCTGCGAAAAACCACCTAGACTTTGCCGACAAGGTTATGCTTGCCCTGCCTATCATAATGATAAAGACAGAAGAAGGTCTCCCAAGATTTACAAATATCGGTTCGTTTTTTTAAAGATTTTTCTATATTTTTCTCTCCATTGTTATTATTCTTTATGTTCTTACTTTTTTGTAAATTCAGTTTCCTTTAGTTAATCATTTCTTATATCTACCAAATTTTCTCCTTAAATTAATATTCAGATCGAAATTTTAAATCTCAATAATAGGGCTGTGCCGATATTAAATATAGGATCGGTACCGATATTGAGCGTTTTCCGAAAATAACGGATCGGGCCGATACCTGTAAAAACCGATCCGATTTTTTTACTTTTTTTTATGTTATGTATATTTATTTTACATTATTATGATATTTTCTAAATAATTTTTTTAAATTTATTTCGTTTTTAAAATAGATTTATAGTATTTTAAAAGTTTTTTTTATAAAAATAGAAAGGAATACCCAAAGTTTTATTTATTTTAAATCTTTTTAAATAGAAGAATTTTTTTAAATATGGTATCTGAATTATGGAAATATTTTACAAAAGATAATTTTGCAAAATGCGTTGCGGAATCATCTGAGTCTGCCTTCAGCACGGCAGGAGATATCGATAGTCCATATCGTAGAAGCTTATTCCCAGAAAATCTAGAGGCTCTCATGGGTAATTCCATATCAAATCGATAACTTTTCGGCCCGACCTTTTTAATTTCGATAAAATTTTGTAAGCTGAGAGAATATCATTTGAAAGCATCGAATCCAAAATTTTAGCTTCCTAGTACTCATAGTTCCAGAGATATCAATGGTTAAAAGTGCCAAAAATGGCCTTTTTCGAAAGATACGATTTTTTAAAATTAAGATAAGTTAAAAAATAATGATTTTAAAAATATAAGTTATATGTCATTTTGTAACTAGGCCTTTTATTAAATATTAAGGATTTTTTTGAAATAATATTGTTGCGGTTTTTATTTACGTTATAAATTTTAAACACGAAAACTGTGTTTCGCTTTCCAAAATTTTTTGAATTTAATATTTTTTTATTCTCTAACCTTATATCTATTCATAAAATAAAATTTAAACTTGGGACAGCCATGGGTTTTTTAGTTATTACGATTTAAAAAATCATAAAATAAATATTTTTTTCAAAAATAGATGGCGCTCTTTTATAAAATAACTTGTTTTGTTATAATTATTATTTTTTTAAACTTTTTTTCATTTTTATACATGAATAATCAGATTTTCCAGCATTAATATCAGGAAAAAATATTATATAGATCGTTTGATAGGCTTACTTATTATTATTGTTATATTGATAATTTTTAAAAATTAGTTTTTATAATAAATGATTAAATTTCCTAAAAAGATAGTTAAAATTCCGATATCTCCTACAAGAAAATATAATAATTAATTGTTGAAAGATAAAAGCAAGTTTTCATGCACCTGCCCTAAAATTAATTAATTTTTATTTTACAAATATTTTGATATTAATTATTTTTCTTCTTAAAATTATTTATAATGTATAAATATAAATGCGTACTTTAATTATAAAAAGAACCTGCGTAAAGTCATTACGTGGATGACACAATATCCAAACATAGTGGCGGAACACTATATTTGTGATAATGTCGTAAACGGTTATCACAAAAAAATATTGAAAATATAAATTCTGATAGTGAATATGTAAATAACAGCATCAACATCAATAGATAAAATCAATATAACTTTAAATGATATTGGAATATCTCCTATTAAGAAAAAAAAATTATCCAAAAAAAGGTAGCAAAAATATCAAAAGCTATTTCAGATATAATAATTAACAATCCAGAATCGGATACAAAAGATAATAATAATATATTCAATAACATGAAATTACAATATCCTAATTTATCTAAAAATAAAAAATATCAATTGCTGACCATTCTGCCACCTAATTGGAACGCTAATAAAAAAGGACAAACGCTACATATTATATGACATATAATTCCAAAATCATTTTGGAAGAAAGGGGGATTCTTTTAACTCCAAATCGAAAGCCTGCAAAATATCTCAATCAAAAAACAGTTGATATTGTTAAAAAAAATTTTGCAGTGATTTAGTTAGTAGGGTATTACGGAAAAAAAGATTGCATATCTATCATTGAAAAGGGGGAACGAGTGAACGCTCAAAAAAGGTTAGTTTATAATAATTTGAAAGAATTATATAATCATTTTAAGGCGAGTAATTCAAACTTAAAAATTGGATTTTCGAAATTTGCTAGCTTAAGACCAAAAAATTGTAGATTAGCAAGGGCTGTCGGAACACATAGTGTATGCGTTTGTAGCATACACCAGAATATTAAACTTATGATTTTAGGCTGTGAATTAGCAACATTGACTAAAAATGGTGAGGATACATTAACAACTTATAGAGATGTTATAGGCAGAATGATTTGCAATCCCCCATTACCCACCTGTTATTTTGATGACTGCAACGAATGTCCTGGCTCGGCACTCTTAAAAGAACGCATCAAAAAATTATTTATAAAAAATGATATAGCTCTTGTTACGTTTAAACAGTGGGTTTCGGTAGATAGAACAACTCTGGAGTAGTGAAGGTCACGGTCCGCTCTTTGATCCGGACTGGACCGATACCCTCGGACCGGACCGGACCACGGTCCTTAAGAAAAAAATCGATCCGACCGGTCTTTTTATTTGTTTAAAAAACATATTTTTTTAACCTAATTTGATTTGTTTTATCATTTTATTAAATATGAGAGTATTATATAAACAATAAAATTTATCCAATGGTATTGAAAAAAATGATTTTGTGCTTGTAGAGGGCATATTAAAATTAAGAGTAGATTGTGTTTTTTGAGATATTTTCATTTTCATCATTAGAAGTATATATTATATGTTTTATCAGATGTCTGCTTAAGGTACCTAATTATTTTATTAAGAATAAGGTTAAGTAATTTTTACAATAAATTATACAGACAGTTTCTTTAAAAATAATAGAACTATATAATAACTAAAATATTTTAATAATATTGCTTATTTTGATTAATTTATTGCTTAAAAAATTATAAAGTAAAGCAAACTTAAACAATAATAAAAGACCGGCCGGACCGCGGTCTGGACCGTTTAAAATAAAAAGACCGGTCCGATCCCGGTCTAAGATCGATAGGACCGGACCGTTGACCTTCACTACTCTGGAGACTATTTCTCAATTTTCAGACGAATTTATTAATTATTTTTTACGATAAAATGAATATTCTCATACGCCATTCATTTATTTGTGAACAACAAAGTTCATTTCACAATAACCTTAAAAATTGTTTAGAAAATAATCACTGTCTAATTATTTGTGACTTTTCAGAAAATTATTCCTTTATTGTCCAAGACGAAGTTCAGGGTTATCATTGGACAACTTCGCAAGTTACGTTGTATCCATTCTCAATTTATTATAAAATAGGAGATCAAATAAACAATCTAAGTTTTGTGGTAATATCGGAATCCTTAATTCATTATACTGTTCATTCCATTTATTCCAAACGCATTTGATTCATTTTTTTAAAAATAAATTCGAAACTCCACCAGAAAAAATTCACTACTTTTCTGATGGTTCAGCACCACAATATAAAAATATGAAAAACTTCATCAATGTTTGCTATTATGAAATCGATTTTAGTGTTCAAGCAGAATGACATTTTTTCCTATGGCACATGGTAAAAGTGTCTGAGACGGCATAGGCGGCACAGTAAAACGGTTAGTTGCCAAGGCAAGCTACATAGACCTTATACTGATCAAATAATTACACCTTTACAATTTTATAAATATGCGGAAAAGCATATAAAAGGTATAAATTTTTCTTATGCCACTATTCCAGAGTATGAGGAAGAAGAGATTTAGTAAATCTATCTCAATACCTGGGACACAAAAAATTCACGCAGTGTTTCCGATTGGCTTCACTAAACTATATTCTAATTTGCAGACATTTATTGTGGAGAATATAGTATATCCACGTGAGGATTCTTTGATTGAGAATCTGTTAATCGATGAGATTAGAGGATATGTAACATGTGCATATGAAAACGATTGGTGGTTAGGATTTGTACAAGAAGTGAATATAATTAGAAATGAAGTAAAAATTAATTTTCTTCACCCTAAAGGCCCAGCAAATTCTTTTATTTATCCAGCTGCACAAGATATCCTTTTCATACCAAAAAATAATATTTTAACAATAGTTAGCCCATCAACGGCTACTGGGCGTACATATAATTTATCGCAAAACGAAATTATCATGGCGTCAAAAAAACCAAATTTAATGAAAACCGAAAATAGGTAATATCTTTCATGAATTTTAATTAATCTATTATATTTAAAAAAATTTAAATAATTTTAAGAAAATTAAAATTTTTACAAGAAAAAAATGATTATAACCTCAGCTAAATAGCCTAATTTCATGATATTAATGCTAGAAAATCTAGTTATTTATGTATAAAAATGGAAAAAAGTTTAAAAAAATAATTATCTTAACAAAAAGCGTTATTTTATAAAGCCATCTATTTTTGAATAAAATATATTATTTTTTAAATCGCAATAACTAAAAAACCCATAGCTGTCCCAAGTTTAAATTTTTTATGAATCGATATAAGGTTAGAGAATAAGAAAATATTAAATTCAGAAAAATATGGAAAATGAAACACCTGGAGTTTTCATGTTTAAAATTTTTTCGTAAATAAAAACCGCAAATTATTTTAAAAAAATCCTTAATATTTAATAAAAGGCCTTTAATAGAGTTACAAAATGACATATAACTTATGTTTTTAAAATCATCATTTTTAACTTATCTCAATTTTAAAAAATCGTATTTTTCGAAAAAAGGACATTTTTGGCACTTTTGACCATTGATATCTCTGGAACTATGAGTACTAGGAAGCTAAAATTTTGGATTCGATGCTTTTAAATGATATTCTCTCAGCATACAAAATTTTAACCGAAAAGTTATCGATTTGGTATGGAATTACCCTCATATTTATTAAAAAAATCTAATATATATTTTTTTATTATAATCTTAATTGTAGAAATAAAAAAATTAAATTCATAATTCGATTTTTTGCCTAAAAAATGTTGATTTCTTAATTACATTTGGTTCAAACGGGGTGATTAAAAATCAGTATAAATATCGGGTCGGTTTTGAAGCAATTTCGGATCGGAGCGGTGAAAAATATGTTGATCGGCAAAGCCCTACTCAATAATCTCCCTTTTGGTTAATTTTTAATTAATCGCCATTTTCAACAAATAATATAATAAATTAATCACTTTTATAGTGTCTAATTACCTTATCAACTCAGGTAGGAATAGTTTAACTTATTTTCAGAGTTGCTAAAAGATACTTTTTAAAGGATCTAGATACAGATACATCGTCTAAAAAATTATCTAGATACAGTTACAATTTTTATTATACTCTTATATAAGGTTTGCATAAGCCTAAATTAGGATTCTATTGTGAAAATTCATGAAATGAGCTAAAAAAAATTATTGACACAATATCACATTTATCAAAATATAATTAAATAATGATTTTTAGATTTTAATACAATATATGATTAAATGATTATAATCACCAATAAAATATTTTCAAAATTTTGGTCATTAAGGCATCCTCGTTTATCTGTAATGACATTCTACCGGGGGTGCTTGAAGGAATTGCGGTGTTATATTTTATGAATAACAATTTTATATCAGGAATTCTTTAAAAATACTAATATCTTGACATTCATTTTTGAAATTGTTTAAAATTTGTTGAATATAAAAATATAAATCATTATTATCAATCATACTATTGGCATCCACAGTGGCAACAAGATTCAATGTGTGACTGACACAACATTGATGATTAGGTAAACTATATGATTCTGATATTTCAAAATCCTGAGCAATAGTATAAAGACTTAATATTGATATTGGTACAATTGCTTCTTCATCTTCAAGATCATCCATGGATTCATTATTATTTTCAATTGGCTTGAAAACTCAATAATAAATAAGTAACCCTAATCATATATTTATAAAAAGAAATAAATCTAAAAACTTTGAGAAAATTTTTGGCATTTTCAGTAATGGTCTTTGAGATTTTATTTTGAATGCAATAATCCTTTGCTATATCTTCTAAATTTTATGCTATTTTGCCATATGTATGACTACCAGTCATTCTTTTACAAGCCAACGCTACATTTTTTTTTCCAAACTTGTTGGATATTTCTTAAAACTGTTCAAATAATTTGTTCTTAATTAATTATTATACAAATTTTAATGTTAGTTATGTGATAGGCACTCCAACAATCTGCTGTTGTGCATATTAGTGATGGTTCTATTAGACTTTTTATGATATCTTTGTTTTCATTTTCCCATCTTTGGGAAATTCTACCAACCACCGTCTGTCGGCAAATTTTATTTTTTTGTGGACCTAATGTTTTGATCATTTTTATAAATAAAGGATTTTCAACAATTGGAAATGGCTAAATGCTAGCTATAATATAACAGATATTAAATCATCTAAAGTGATTTGTTTCAAGTCTGAGCTCTTGGCAAAAATATTAGTGGATGATGAGCCTACAATATTTTCTTTAATAGATTTATTCTCCTTTCCCTTTTTTATTTTCATTTACATTGTTTGATGTTTTACAATGTTGCAAGTTGAGGTAATGCTAACTGAAATTTTCGTATTCTTTGGTAAACATGGCAAACATTTTACTATTTTTCCTTTATTTTGAGATATTATTTTAAATATAAAATCTATAAATTGTCCATGGAAAAACAATGTCTGAACTTGTTGATGCTTCATTGATTATTACTTCTTCCTCTTCATCACTATTAATATTAATCTAAAATAAATATTATAGTTTAATAAAATAAAATTAACCAATTCCATTGAAAATAAAAATGGCAGATTCCTTGAGATGGATTATCAAAATTTGCCTGGTTTATTAATAAACTCGGACATAATATTTAATGAATATATATATATATAATATTTAGTTATATTAGTCTTAATATTTTTTAATGTATATATTTAAATTTTATGCTCATGTGAAATAAAATAAATTTTGCATTCTTTTTATTTATAATATAAAAAAGCGTTAAATAAAAAGTATATCAAAATGATTTTTAAAAGTATCTAATAACAGGTACAGATACCTCTAAAATAATATCTAGATCAAATACTTTTTAAATCTAGATACAGATACCACATTTTTATATCTAGATACTTTAACAACTCTTATTTTTATATCTAGATACTTTAACAACTCTTATTTTATGACCCTTTAAATATCACATATTAAAATTTTTCTTCTATTTTGCATTATTACTTATGATTTCTAATCTATCCAATGCCCAATTATCTCTTTTTCCATCTATTCCCTTTCTTTCTTTTAAAAAATGTTTATTTTATTGATTTAATATTTTATTACGATAAATTCAATATACCATACCAAATAAATAATATCTTAGATTTATATTTTTCCTTTTTATGTATAATTATTTGTATTTTACGTTCGCATCTTCCTGCTATTTATCGCAAATGAATAGGGGTTTCCCGAATTATATTTGATCTTTTTATTTTCTATCTTTCCTTTATTTTTTTGATCTTTTTATTAAAACATTTTTTGTCGTAACCAATTCTATTATTTCAGATCTACTCCGTGTCCTACCATTAAACATGGGGATGAATGGGGTGACCCTAATAGCTGCGCGAATGGGGATGAATGCTCCTATTGTCATACAAGAACTGAACAACAGTTTCATCCAGAAGTAACAAATTATTTAATAATTATGATTTATCAAATTTAAAACTTTCTAACAATAAAGTAAGATGATCAATAAATATTGAATACAGATTTTGAAACCTGGATTGAAAAATGGCTCCAGTTCATACATATTAATCTATATATAATTTGAGTGAAGTTGAACATTAGTTTCTTATTTTTCCAAAATATTTTTTCCTTTAAGTTTAGAGGAAGACTATTTAAAAATTTTTAAATAGATTTCTATTACGAGCCATTCTATATCGACGGTTAGTTCACTTAAATTTTGGCCAAGTAGTTAAAAGTGATAATTAGCCTATAAATTTAAAAAAATTAACTTGTATTCATCATTATGATGAAATTTTCTAAAACGGTAAATAAGAAAGAAGTTGCTATTCGTTATTTCATAATTAAATTATGAATTATAAGTAAAAACTGCTTATTTTTCAATAAATATAATACTACATTGCTATTTTTGGCTATCGGTATAATCTAAAAAGGTGATATCGATGCATCTCATTTTTATTGATCTAAAAGTGCATAACTTATACATTTGATTTTTAAATATTTTTAATTTATTTTTTTTAAAGATGTTTATACTATGATTTTTTTATCAATAGTGATGTTTATTTTTCGAGATATTTAGATAACTGTTTGTTACCTTTATCGATCAGTTTACTAAAATATTACCTTTAAAAATTTTTAGCTTACTTAACAGTCTGTGTTAATAATAGATATATGGATAAAACACTATTGTTAGGAAGTTTTTTCTTTTTTGAAAAATCGGGAGAATTAGGATTGACATTCTCCATCACATTTCTCAAGGGGCCATAACGTTAAAATACGAGTGACTAACGAAACACCTGCTCGTCCTAAATATAATTGTGCCATTGATTATTTATTAGAAAAATATATAAAAAATTTAGGGATTTACCAATATTTTTTATTTGATCGGGCCGATATTTCATCCTTTTTTGGATATCGGTTATCGGCTGATATAAAATTTTCCGAACGGATAAAATGGCATCCTAATTTTTAAAAAATTTATTTCAAATTTTATAATATATTTGTTTATTACATATTATATAAATAAATTAATGTTATATAAATGAGTGATTTATCAATAAAAATAATTTTATATACTTTTAGATTCATGAATATAGACTATAACTGATCAATATAATATATTTAAATTACTTATGTTATGGTATAGTAAATTATAGATATTACACTATTAAAAATGATATGAGATGAGTAGATTTATGTAGTGATGCAAAATCGCTCCATTTGAACCGTTTTTAAAAACGGTTAACTTAATATTTTAGCTAGAGAAATATTGCCTAAATCTCAAGATTTGCTAATAGATGTCCAAACCTTTGTGACATTTATGAGAAAATTTTACAGACTTGCGAAATAATTTTCAGACAAAATACTGATTTAGCCGTTTTTAAAAATTGGCTCAAATGGAGCGATTTTGCAATACTAGATATATGCATTAAAAATTAAAACGATTAGTATGTTTACACAGAATACAAAATCAAATTATACTGGATGAAAAGAGATATCTGGAGTGATTTGTAATGAACCATGAAACCATTATAAATCTTTATAAATATCTGAACCAGTAAAAAGAAAAACAGTTAAACCAATTTTATATTCTTTTCTTTGTGGTGTATTACATATTTTATTATATCTGTGTCGTTATTTATAATTTGATCAAAATATTTGCTTAATATCCTTTTTCACTATGACTTAAATTGATCCTCTCTTTTAACTGCTTTATAGTATTAGAGCATTCCTATTTTCTCTAGTATGCAAAATAGCTATATAACCAACTTGTAGATTTTTGATTTAGTTGTATTTAATTAAATTAAATATTCACCACCTATCCATGCGTAATTTGATAGAAGGGTCACTATTCCCGTGAAAATTTCAAAATAACCAAATTTATATGGTTTTAATTTTATTTATTATTTATAGAATTTAGGCATTTGAGTATACTTAAAAGCATTAGTAGTTATAGCCTTTATTATGAAAAATATCTGTCTTGAAATGCAAGTGTTTGTAAATTGTTCTAATCTGTTTTTTATATATGATTTTTTAGGTGTGAGGGATTGTAAATTTCCTTATTCAATGATATCCATATATAATGTGGCTTTACAAATTGATGATTAATTCTAATTAGTTTATCACATTATTTGTTTGCTTTAACCTCATGTTTTTTTTATTTATTTATATTTCTATTTTCTATATTTTAGTATGCAAATATCTAAATAACTTATTGTTGATTTAGTTGCATTTATTTAATTAATCTAAAAAATTATCAGTATATATTGGGAATCAAAAAAATTTGAATATACAGAATTATATAAACTTGCTCTTACGCTACTTGTGGTTCCCACAACACATGTTTCTGTTGCAAGGGCCTTTTCGGGGCTAAAATTTATATTATCATCAGAACTAAAAAAATATGAATACACTATATTACTTATACGTTCAAATAATATATTTAAAAATGAGTTATGATTATTATAATTTTTTTTATATATTAATAGCTTATTATAAAAATAAATTAAATTTATTTTATAAATAAACAATACATTAACTTAAGTGATAGCAAATTTTATTTAATAATATTCATAATTAAAATCATTATATGATGGTGTTGCTTCAATAAAAATAATTTCATACCGTAATGAACCTTTGTAAACTTTTACAATTTGCTGTACCAAACCTAAAATTGTAAATTTTTTCTTAGAACCGTTGCCATATAATTTTTTACATACTGAACCGTTATAAAAAAAATTGGGATCCATGATCGGTACACCTCTACAAAAATATAATCAAAATAATACCAACCTTGATGGAACTTGCTCCAAGACCGTTTGGCTTATACAGAAAACGTTATTGAAACTGAAACATATTCAGCAATTTATAAAATAAGAATAACATTTATACTTTTTAAATACAATTTTCTCGTTCACAGATATTTAAAACGACCAAGTGTAATGATATGATGCAAACCGGGTATTGTCCTAGGGGACCTTTTTGCGCATTCGCTCACGTTGAACGTAAAATTTAAAAAATATTAAATTTTATGAAAAGCGAATTTTAAAAACGATTTCTTTTTTACATCATTTTTTTTTATCAATACTCATAAAAATTAGAACGAAAAAATGAAAGTATAAATTGATAGAAACGAAAATAATTTGTTTTAAATTTTATAAACTACATGCTAATAACAGAAGAACTTTGTTCAGAACGTAAACTAATTAATCAACTTATGATGGGTGTCGACGGTGTTAATTGTCTCAACTTCCCAAATCATTTGGTAGATAATTCTTTGAACTTTCATTCTTCACATACTTGTGCTAATACTATATCTTTAAATATTAATAATGCGAATCAAATAATGATGCAACAGGCTCCTCGTCATTTATCCACTGTTAAAAATGGTTATAATCATACGATTAACAAAACTCACAACCATAATTCGATAATGAATAATAATAACTTTTGCCCTTCCTTCCCTCCCCCATCTCTCGATTACAAAGAATTAAGACATTCGAATAACACTTTAGCTTTCAATCAATTACAAGCACAACAAATACCTTTCAATAAAAATAACCCAAAAAATATGGATAATTTTGAAGCAAGATCAGAAATTAACAATAGAGGATTCCCGGTTCATAATTACGGTATACCTGGTTACAATGTTGTTTTTAATAATAACAAAAGTCATCTTATGCCAAATAATGCAAATGGTGCAAATAATGGGTGGGGCAAACTGGATCAGCCTTACGATAATTTAAATTACTTTGAAAATTCAAATCTACAAAATGTGAACTCTCATCACCATAATCTTAATGCGTTTAATCTCATTCACAATAATAATTTGCCATCTTATGCCAGTAATAGTTTCGAGGTTGAATTATCAAATCAATCACAGCCAAATAAATTTCCTATGATATCATATAATGAACCTGAAAGACATTTTGAGAAGATTCAAGACAATAATGGGATTAACAATCAAGGATGTGATGGTCAGGTTTTTATATAATACAATATATGTCACTTTATTTGTTTTATTGTTTAAGGAATTTAATTTATTAAAAAAGATGCTAATTTTATTTATTTTTAATATAAGTTAAGAAAGGGGGTTAAGAGGATTTTTTAATATTTTCTTAAAAATTTTGATAGGCAAATTGTGTTGGTCCACAAATTTATCACCGATCCAATATTATTATAAATAGAATCAATATTTTCTTATATAAAAAAACCAACTAACTTTTATGAATGATTAAGTTATTTTTTTTTTATTTCCAAAAGTAAATAATCTCATTTAATATATGGGCAATGTTTTTGCTGAATGTAATGATGTTAAACAGAAGTACTTGAGGAGATACATTTATCAAACTTCTCAGTATAGTTTGTATTCACTCTATTTTTAGCTGGATACACAAACGCCAAACTATTATTAGCCAAAAACTATCACTTCAAAATTTTTTTAAAATATATACAATACATCACCACAATGTCAAGCTAATTTGAGGCGAATTTTGCTCATTAGCCAAGTATATTCCTTAGATTGTTTTTACAAACAGCTTTCAAAAAAATTTATATAGTAATATTAATTCATGTAAATTAGGATTTTTTAAAAATGTTTTTTTGTCTCGTGAACATTACATTTAAAAAGCTGTGGTCTTGCAGTGAGGGCGACGATATGCTGAAACTAGTCAATTCATAATTTCCAAATTTAAAAATCTGCCTCAGCATGTTATTTAAAATAGATTAAATTTCCATGGATTTCTTATTCCAATATTATTTTTTTTATTTTATACATCCTAATAAAAATAAGTAAATAAAAGGAACCAAAAATCAATTTGCTTATAAAACTAAAGAAAATGTAATTTTTTTTAAATCGAATTGCTAAGTTTGAATTAGAGATCTGCAAAAGGTTTAGGCTGGGTCGGATCGGGCCTTGGAATTTTTTTTAAATATATCTAAATTTATCAATTTTATGTTGAATTTTTTATATGAAATAAAAATGTTTGATATTATTTATAGACGCTAAACGCCATATGACATGTATCTTTTATTTTGAGTAATTATAATTTTTTTTAAAAAATTTCTATATTCAAATAAATTCAGGCTGGGCTTGAATAATTAGGCCTGATGCAGATCACTAAATTTGAAATTATCTACAACAAGAAAAGGATTTGTACCAATTTAACAAGTTGTGTTAAACATTGTCTAGATAAAAATACACTTAATCATTCGTGGTAATGCACCAAATATTACCTCGACCATGAAAACCCAAAATATTTAGTGTTTCTTGCCCATGGTTAGGCAGTTAGTTATTTTTTCGTTGAAAATATTAACTTTTCATGACTGGTTCAAAGTGATGGTAAATAAAAATCAATCTAAATATTGGGTCGTTATCTGATGAGTTGCATGAATATTGGATTCGTAAAAAAATATATGAATCACCATAGCCCTAATTAAGTGAATGGTAATTTAAAATATAATAGATACAATATCGAGTGTCCTTTCATAATGCTAGTTTGTAATGAACTTTTTGATACACGATTGTAATTTATAATAGAGGTCAGCACAGACTGCAAACCAATAAAACTGCAAAATATTTTCATGGGATAAGTTGAAGTTTTGAAAATGTTCATAAGGCTGAGAATTAGGCAATTTTAGGTCGTTTTTTTCATAAAAAATAATAATTAAGTTTGAGAACTTGTTAAAATTGTTTTATGAGCCTGGTCAGCTAGAAATCATTATAGGTTAGGCTGAACTTTTCAAAAAGTTACATGGATCGGGCTGCCTATACTTCGATTATTATAATAACTAATAAATATGAATTTCTTTTTTAAATTTAAAGGCACAATTCATAGCCCCTATTGGCACAAAATCTATCAGCAAATTCGAGGAAATTCATTTTGAGAAAAATATTGATCACCATGACCTAAATCTCGATAATAACATGGTTATCAATAACGGTTACAGTCCAGAAATATCTACCTTCCTGACTCTTTTCCCGCCTACATCTGGTATTGAAATTTTTTATAATCAAATTAAGATTAGAATTAACTTAAATATTTTACTACATAAAAAAAGAAATCCGCTCTGAATGGTGGATTATCTATAAAAAAAATTCTCAATTGATTTTAACATTCCGAAATTTTATGTTCTCATTTGTTATCAAAGAAAACGAAAGGTTATGCGATCCTGATAACGATTTAGCCTTAAAGCAGCAAATAATGTCGTCCCAGGGGTGCAATGGTAAATTATGGGATAGCTCTTCTCTCCTTCCCACCCTAGATGTAAAAGAAAAATAATTTTTTTATTATATTCATTAATATAGAAAAGATAATAATTTAATACAATTAGGTTAATTGCTGTCTTTTATAAAAAAAATTAATTAAATATTAAGAAAACCTTTCTATCAAATCTCTTTCAAACTGGGATCCTGAGTTCATGTTTCGTCTGAAAAAAATTACATTCCAGAATATGTGCCTGAAAAAATATTTAATTAATATCCAATTTTTATTCATTATAATAATAGATCAGGAAAAACGACATTTGTGTTCATTTTTAGCGAAATATATTTTATTTTTTAATTGTAGACTAAAAATAAAATTGTTAATAATTACTCCTTAATTAATAATCTATATAAAAAATTACCTGTAATATTAGTGGGTTTGGTTATTATATTATATATGTTAGCGTCAATGTGTTTTTCCTGCAATATGTTATTTTATAAATTTAAATCATTTTTTGAGCGCTTTTTTAAATTTAAAAATGGGGAAATATATTCAATCATGTTTGGAATACTTATCTTTTGAATCGTAGACAATTTTGCCGTTCTGAGTCCTTTATAATCTCTATAATCTAATATAAATTATATTAAGCTTAAAACTTTATGGAAATATTTTTAGAAATTCATAGGGTAGGTATTTCAAAAATACATTTCTGGTAAAATTAGATATTTAAATTTTAAAAAACGCGCTCAAAAAATAATTTAAAGTTGAAAAAACACGTTGACGCTGACATATATAATAACTAACTATTTTTATAGTTATATAATTTTTAACTAAAAAATATAAATAAGTCTCCCAATATAATAACTAAGTTTTTGCTTTAGAAACATGAAATTTTAAAAATTCGGGCTGCCGTTTTATAATTTTTGGCCAGGGTTTATAAAAAAATATCTTGGCCCATAATGAAAAAAAAATTTTTTAGACTTACCTAGGTTTTATTTTTAAAACAATTATATGCAATATCAAATAATTATTTTAACAAAGTTTATATTCCTAAAAAATAATCTTTTCGATTTTTAATAATTTAGCATTTTTAACCCTTGATTACCTAATGGTGTCAGTACACAAAGTTTTATTAAAATTAATAAGTATTGGGATGAAAAGGTGATCACTTGAAATTCGGCAATAATTATCTTGAAAATAAATATTATTTATTTTCAAAAATAATTATGATACTTATAATATTAACATAAATAGGGGAAATCCGAGAAATCTAAACATTTTTCCATTGAAGAATTTTCACGCCATATTAACGATAGCAGCCATCAAACTTCTCTCTTTCCCAACATAGATGCTTTGCTAGAAAATTTGCCTGTAGATTCTATCAAAACTCACGTCGATAAAATCCGCACTTATCTGGAAAGAGTTGAAAAGGTAATTTCTTATTTATTTAATATATTAGAGAGAATAAGTTTTTGGACCTAACTTATCGATGTATTTGCATTAAGAAATAACTTAAAAGAGATCATAGGAAAAAAGATACTTTATTTGTTTAGAGAAATGAGATTAGAAATCTGCATACCATTATAATTTTGCCAGCCAGAGTAGTTATTTAGACCTTATCTATGGCAAATAAAAATTTTGTAAAAATATAATTGTAATTTTGGAATATTCTTTGGGATTAGGGCAAGCAATTAGTAATTTTAGGTACCTATAAATATGTGTATTTAATATTTTTCGGTTAAAACAGGCCTGAAAATAAAAATTTGGCATGACCATTGTTTGTATGGCTTTAACGAATTGCTTGGCCATTTTTTGTAGTTAATATTAGTTTAAGTTTTATTTTAAATTCATAATGTTAAATAGTTTTTCACTATTGTCAAAAGTTGTAATAAAAAATAAGAATCAAATTAAATGAGATTTTATGACAACTAATATTTACTAGTGTAACTTGGCATTCTTTATTTAAATATGGGACCAATCTAATTATTTTGATCAATTATTTCCCAATTAGACTCTCACCCAAAAGCAGAGACCGCCAAATGCAACTTTCAAAAATATTAACCAGGGTCTTCAAAGTTTATGTCCTGCCTGTGGGATCAAACCTACATATATGGATATGAATACAGGCATTGATGTATTGTGCTCTAATTGTGCAAGTTCGAAGGAAATGGCTCATATCAGATACCTGAGTTCTAAAATGGATAATAATGAATCCACTATCAATGGTGCCATTTAGGCAAAATTATCTACTTTTCTAATGCAATTTGTTATTAACTTAATAGAGTTCTTATAAAATTAAACACTTATATAATATTTTTTTAAATTGCTTAGAAATTTTATATTGTATTTTAAAAATTTTATACACCTTACATTACAAGTATTTAAGAAAAAATAATGATAACAATGCAATCTATCTTTTTTATATATCGGGACTAAAATTTGAGCAGTTTTTTTATAAATAATGCTAAAATAACGACATAGTTTATTATACAGCATTTCATTCATAAGGTATTTTTGAAACTGGGTTGCATTACGATAAAATTTATTTAATTAACTGTAATTAAAAATGACTTGTATGTATATCATTTGCGAATCCTTAACTTTATACAAGAACTCCTCATAAAAAAATATATATCTATAAATTACCCCTTTAATATTTTGAAAAATAAATAAATTTTTACTAGCATCAAAAAACTTAAAAGAAAATTGTGATAGCCATTTAAAAAAATAAATAAAATAATTATCAAAGTTTATATATATTTTTTATCATTTTCTAAACCCCCATCTCCCCACCCAATTAATTGTATACTCAAAACAAATATTTTAAAATAGTTTTTTTTTAGCAAAGAAAATTATTTTTCAAATTGTATCATTATGTATTTTTCCTCACACTCCTCTCCTTTATTTTATATATCAATCAATGCAATTTAAGCGCTATATTAAGCAAGTATTATTAGAATATCCAATGTTTCAAAAATAAGTATTATATTCATAGTTTTTTTTTTAATTTGCAGTATTTTCTCTTCTCTTGTTTTATTGTAAATGCTAATTTTTAGACAATGTTGAATATTTATTTTTCTACAAAATGTAGATAAACACATTAATTAACTAAACTATTTACACCGTTTATTAATCAGTTGCCTGTGTAACTAGTTAACCCTCCACTCTAACCCAAATTTTATTTACATTCTGTAGTTAACGAGTCCTTACTTATCATATTATATATTATTAGCTTATAAGATTTAGATTATACATAAATTTTTATATATTAAATTAGTAGATTTATTAAAATATTTAAAATAACATATAAATCAAATTATCTTTAATTTTAAAGAACAATGATCCATTATAACCTTTTTCTTCCTCTTAGATTTATAGTGATAGTTCTTATGAAAACTAATACCTTATATATACACTCACTTTATAATAATGTTAGTTAGATATAATATATTAACAAAATTACAAAAAAAACAAATTTTTTAAAATAAATATCTTAATTAATTTGATATTTATATAATATAGATATTATTTTAGATAAAATTATAAATGTTCCTGATTACGCCCTTCCCTCCCATATGGTCGGCTTTATATTAAAGTTTTTACTAACTTTAGTATTGTTCATTTGTCAAACTTATATTTTACTTTTTTTAAATGGGTTTGTGTTGACTTTTTGGATGATTTGTTTACTAAAATCTATTAATATCATGTATTAATCCTGCATTTGCCAATTTTTTTTCAATTCATATTATATCGCTCATTTATTTTATATTTATCAACCTACGTTTATTATATTTTAAATTCTTTGGCTTTTATATATAAAATAAAAACACCCAACTCACAAATAATTTTTTTAGCTATTTGAAATAATCTATTTTAAAAAAAATTATATTATATAGTTTATTGGTATATATTTTCTGTGAACACAATTAAAACGTTTTTATATTGTTAATTGAATATAATAAATTTTAGTAGCAATTAAATTGGTTTTATTATTATTATATTGATTTTATACAGTGGGGATGAGATATATTAAGTTGATATTATAAGCAATTCATTTTTATTATATCTTTAATATGTAAGCAAATAAATTATATGTGAATTCACTCTTTCATTGCTGTATCGATATTAATATGAACTAAAATCGACTTAATATTCACAATAATTATTATCTATTGTCCAATTTAATTTGCATAAATAAGGTTTTAATAATTTTATAATATTGATCTAAAAAAAATTTTATAATTATATGATGGTAATATTTATGTTATAAGAACTTATTTTTGGGTCTGAACACTCCATATGGCAAATACATTACTGGAATTAATACAGAGAAAATATCTATTAAATTGTGTGATTTTTAATTTTTCAATACAGGAATAGGAAAATTTTTTTAGAAAAATATTTATATACAGATATAAATAATCTTTAAAGATAAGTATTTAAGATACAGATACTTGATAAAAATATTGAAAAAGGTATATAGATACTTAAAAAATTGATATAATGTGAAATTTTATTTTGGACATTGTGCTAAATGATGAATTAATGCTAAAACACTATATTCATTTCTCTTAATATATTTTCATATAAGTATATAATATATTATAATTATATATGATAAAAATTTGTTTATAAATTTTATAAAAATATTTTATTAGGACAATGTGATAATTTGTATAAAAAAATTAAATTAGTACATTGAAAATTTTATAAATAATCATTATTTTTTATAATAATTAATTTCTTAATATATTTATCTAATAATCTATGCCTATTTGGCTATTGATAAGGTTTGCAAAATTAAATAGCCTTTCAATTGGGGCTGAAGCAAAATAGTGTTATACTTTTTAAAAAAAATATTTTACCTGCTTATATTTATTATGTAAGTTGCTAGTATCGAAACAATTGTTTTTAATATTTCCAGTTCAATTTCATTAGCCTCATTATTTTTAGAAAATCTATTATTAAAACAAAAATATTCATCCTTCAATAAAAAAGAATGAATTTATAGGTTGGTCAAGTGCATTAACCATCAAAGCAACCTATTTTGCAAATATTTTTTTTTATATCAAACCTTTTAATTTTAAAATAATTTTATATTCATAATTGAAAATATTTCAGAATCGTTTATTTAACCCATTCGATGACCTTAAGAAGTAGCAAAAACGTACGTCGGTTGATCATTTCCTTTTAAAACCAATAAAATTAGGACTAAACAATTATTATGGCCCTGCAGTTTATAATAGGGGAATTGCTTTAGTATATTTTATTTCAATATCTTTCAACTCGTAAAATTAAGTTTTTTACACAGTGTTGTAAACTCAGATTGAATTTTAATAGAGACATACAATGTTTGAACTATTCCAACCAATGTGTTATAAATAATATTATTGGTTGGGAATTTTCAAAAAATGTTTACTAGTTTAACTCGGATTTAAATTAAATAAACATTTAATTATATCAAAAAATATGAAAGATTAAAAGTAACTTTTGCATAGGTACTCATTTTTAAAAGGGTATTTAAGATATAGATACATTTTCATAATGCACAAAAAAATATATTTTATCTTATATTTAAGATATAATATTTGCGATACTGCCCAACCCTGAATGTATCTACATTGTTTAGAATATCTGGAATCTCATTTTTATTATTTAATATTAGCGCCAAATAAGTGTCTAAGCCAGAAATTTCCCATATGGGAGGGTGAGGGGTAAAAAATTTTTGGGAGGGCTTCGCCCTAAAATTCAATTGCTTATATCTTAAGCTAGGCTATGTTAAATTTTAGAGAGTATTTCATAAATTTTATCAGATAAAAATGCTTTAGCATGAATAACATTCCTTTATTTAGTCATGTATTTATTTTTATTATTTAAAATAAATTTCAAAATATAGATATTTAATACAGAATATAAAATTAAAAATTTTATTGTATAAAAACTATTTTAAAAAAATGTAATTTAACAATTACATAAAATATAGTAATTCTTATGATAATGGTATTAAATATGAAGATATTATCAAAATATAAATAATACACAGTAACTTTTGATTAAAAATAGTATTAATTGCATAAATTTTAAAAGTTATAAATGTTATAACTAAGAATTTATTTTATGAAAAATTATAATCATATTGCAATTTTTTGATTTGAATTTATAAAGAGAGGTCTACTTTTCTCTGAGTTTTTGCTAATGCATCTAGAATCAAATTTTTATCTAGAATAATCTCCTTATAAATTTTAATAGAGCTAATTCATTTAAACGTTTTTCATCGGTGGTATTTTTTAAATAGGTGAAAAAGACCTTCCTTTCATTGCAGGTATCAATTGATAAGATAGCTAAAATAATTAATGTTTTGTTACACAGGGAATTTAAATTACACATGGAAAGGGCCTGCAGAGCATCTTTTGGTCTCAAAGAATACTTTATTCTGTTAAGATTTTTGCACCAAAATCAGACTTCACAAAGCAACTTATCATATGAGCCTACTAAATCATCAGCGTAAAACTCTGAAATTTTCTTAATATCCTCTCTTGTTTCAAGTGTAATCAACAGTTTATACTCTACTGGCAAAAGAAAATAAAAGCTTTTTAAAATAAAATTATGACTAATAAATTTTTCATTTAATTGAAATAAAAATGTATCAATAAGGGAATAAAAATGTTTATTTTATAAAAATCCTCAATCATAGATGCATCAATATTTGAGCGATTTGATTGTCTGGTAACTATTTCAGGTTTAAAAATTTCAATTTCAAACATATTAGCAATCTACTTTACTTTCTCGTATATTTCAAGAAATTTTTCATCCACATTCTCTGATATTTGTTAATATTTCAACAATATCCTTTGCTCTATTCATAACCTCCCTTAAATCCAAATCAATTTTTTGTAGCATTTTATGTATAATTAAATAACACAAAGAATTGATATTAAAAATTGTGGCTTAATAATAGCCTGCAATAGATTCTCAGCGTAAGCCTGCCCCCTATGCCTACGCCGCGTCAATGTGTGTTTTCCGGCAATGTGTTATTTTTTCAACTGTAAATCATTTTTTGGGCGCGTTTTTTAAATTTAAAGTCATTTATAATTATATGGAAAAAAACTAATATAAATTACATAAAGTTTTAAGGTTCATGGCAAAATTGTATGAAAATTAATAGAGTAGATATTCCAAACATGATGGAATACATTTATGGTAAAATCAAATTATTAAATTTAAAAAAAAGCGCTTCTAATGATTTAAAGTTGAAAAAATAACACATTGCCGCTAATATATATAAATCATTATAAAAGCTATTTTAACTTAATTATAATAAAAAATTTCAATTGAAATCTGTTTGCACAATCATTTTCCATCCTTTTTTTAGATGAAAATCCTCGTTTTCACTTGCGTTTTTGAAGTCAAAACTAGGGTGAAAATTTTTGATTTTTTCACAATTTTGTAAAATTGGTTTTGGTTATCCTGAGGCCATTTTCAGACAAACGTCTTTTCAAAGCAGTTTTTGGATAATGTTAAAAGCAATTTTTTTTTATTTTTAAACAAAGGATATTAATTTGTCGAATTAATTTTCCCCAACAAAGGATTCTACCTTGGTCTCTCTCGAAATCTGCTCTAATTTCCGAAGCATTCACTCCTCTCTAGGGCGATGTGTACCTTATTTTTACAGTTCTATTTAACGTTTTTTTATATAAAATTCCTATATATTTTTTTAAATATATTCTTATTTGTATTTTTAAATATTTTTTTATATAGTATATATTAGTATTTAATTTTTTAAATTGAAAGACTTTTTTGAAATAAAAATACACCATCATATAATATTTGAAAATAAGACGCCAATTAATCGTAAATAGGAAACAAATTGGTTTGATTTATTAACGATTAAATGACATCTGTGAAATGGAGATCTTGAGTTTTATTTCAAATATTATATTATATAAAAAAAATTAATTTGACAAATCACTATCCTTTGTTTGTAAATAAAAAAATTACTAGTAAGATTGCCCAAAATGGCTTTGGAAAAACAATGTTTGAAAATGGCCTAATACGTATTTTTAATAACAGCAACACGATTCAATTTTGCTCTTAAAAAAAATGAATATTCCTAAAAATAAATTTTTTTTTGTTTTCCCCACATTTATTTTTAAACATAAATACAACACATTCGTATGATATTCGATTTATTTTTTAAAAAGAAGCAATTTTATATGATGACAAATTATTCATGCAGCTATAGGCGGTAATGTTAATCAAAGGCAGTATTTTAATTAAATGGGCAGTAGGTAAATTATTTGTTAGCTATTTCAAATCTTTGGTCAGTTAATAATTAATTTTCAAGTTTTTTATTGGTATGGGCAGTATTTAAATTATATGAGCAGTTTAAAAATTATTTTAATTTTAAATTTTTGGTCAGTTAATAATTAATTTTTAAGTTTTTTACTAACGTCTTTTAAATTTTTTTGAACCTTTACTTTTAAAATGGATAGCATATACTTAACAAATTGAGGATGTGTAATGTAAAACCGAATAATCAGGCATATATATTGGGTAAAGAAAAACTAGATGTATTAGTAGTAAAAAGCTATTCACAATGGGTATACTTTGCTTAAAAATACATTGTCATGTGCTGGGATAATATATAGAAATGTATCTAAAAAGATATCTCTAGTATCAATAGATACCTAAATCAATTATATTAAGTTGAGAATATAGATTAAATAAATCAATTGCAATTAGCTCAAAAACAATTTATATTTAGC